ATTTAGTTGTTACGGTAATATCCCAAGGTTCATCCTTGTTTGCTTATACTTTCTTTGTAACTGCACCAATTATGTTATTGATAATGATTTGAGTTTCTCCCAGTCTTATTTTATCTTTTACAATATCTTTAATCATTTCATTACATGCATTCTTAAAACCATCTGATTTTTCTAATTTACGTCTATCACTTTCTTTAATTAAATCAAAGTTATAACCTTGTTGAGAATAAAGTGGTTTCTTTATCAATTCCTTGAACGCTTCTGAAAGTGAAGATGAAGAAATTCTTGCCACTTGAATTGGTTTAAATTCTACTTTCATTGCTTCTTTCTGTTCATTGAACACTGGATCGAATAAAGCAACTTTAAAGAATTTCTTAGCTGAAATTTCGGGTCTAATATTTGCATATTGACCATCAAACTGATTAACATATCGTGGTAATTCATCCGGTCCCTCTTCAATAGCATTTAATTCTTCATTGAAATAAGAATATGGATTATGACGGTATGAATTAATTGGACCATTTTCACCTTCTCCAATGTATTGTTTAACAGCTTTTCCATTTTCATCAAATTGCATAGGATAACGTTCATTATATGCTTTACGTTTAGGATAATCAGATACAGTTAATTTATAACCATTTATGACTTTAATATTACCTTGACCATCAGTAACGAAAACTTCATTTATACCATCAGGTTTTCCATTTGGACCCGTAATGTCTGCTTCGTGTGCTTCCCAATTTGGACCATGACGTTTGGCATATGCTTGAGCTTCTGGTAATGTTAAAACGTTTCTCATTTGTTTAACATCTTTTTGAAGACCAGCAACAATATGAACTAATTCTTTCATTCCATCAGGAACTTTCATAGTTCTATTATATGCACCCTTTTTGTTTGTTCCTTGTTTTAATGGAGTCTGTAGAAGATTTGCTATTTCTGTCATGTTTAATTATAAATAAAAAATAAAAATTAATTATAAAAAGTTAATCAAATTTAACACCTCCTTTATTTAAATCAACTATTATTTTTCCATGTTCACCTAATTGTTGATATTGTGTGTAAAGTTCATTAATGCTCATTGGTAAATTCACTTGATAAAGCATAACGTTCAACTGTTGACGACTAAACCCACTGAAAATGAAAAGGGTTGATATATTTGATTTAATATTTGTGCTTAATGCTTTGAAGTATTGAACAGCCATAAAGAATGAACACTGAATGTGTCGACATTGAGTTAATAACTGATTAAAATATGATTTCTCATTTGTTATTAGTTTTGATTTCACTGCATCATCTAGAAAAATGAGTGAATGTAAAAATTCTCTATCAAAATTTGAAATAGAAAGTGTTTCAAATAATTCATCCCGTTGTTTATCAATAATTTTATCCTCTAATCCTTGCTTCTTGATTGTATTATATAATTCTTTATACATTAAAAAGTTTTTTAAATAATCTTCTGCTTCTTCTTGTGATAAATAAATAATTGGAATTTTGATTAAATGCTTTAAAGATTCAAATGTATCATCTGAAGGTGAACCTGAACGGTTGATATAAATTAACACATGTGAATAGGGGGAAGTGTTAGCAATAATGATAATTTGTTTTAATATCGTTAATGTTTTACCTTTATTCTGTTTACCAATTGCTGCAGTGATTGAATTTAAATAACATTCAGAATATGGAATTTTCATTAATTTTTCCTTAGATAGAGCATTTCTATTATCACTCAATGCTTCATTAATCATATCATCTACGTATGTATTATATACTCCTGCTAATTCTTCATAAGGGGTGGATGAGTTTAACTCCATTTAATCAAAAATAAATTTATAATTTTAAACATTTCTATTCATCAATATTTCATCATATGAACTTCTATACTGTGGTGGTGTACCTGTTGAATGATATTTCAAACCTTCATCCGGTGTCCATGTCCAATATGTAGTCCTAGTAAACCAAACCTGAGGAGGATTTGTCACCTTTGAACAGTAAGTGTCATTTTCACCCTGAATGATTGGATAAGCTTTCACTTGTACTGTAACTTGTGAGTTGAAAGTTTCTAATCCATCAAAGAATATACCCGCTCCATCACGTTGAACTGGAATAGTGCATAAGAATGAAGTTTGGTCTTTCCATGTTCTAGCTAATGGCGTGCCATTATCATCATTCAATGGTCTAGTTAATGAGTCCTCGTATTCTTCCGTGCATTCATTCACTCCATCTAAATCAGAAGCTTGAAGCATACGTGTAAAGAATATGTCACCCACTGTGGTCATCGCTTGATCGGGGAAGTTTCTGGAATCTATAGTGACCTGAAGACCTCGAAGCATTGGATTTTCTAAAACTGTTCTTTGCATTGCATTCTTCGGAAATGCTAACACAACATCTGTAACATTATGAAGAGCGTATGAGAAATCTGAGCTAATACCTTCAGGAGTGATGCAACCTCCATTTAGTGAACGAACGTCAATATGTTGAGCTGGAATCATGAATGGATCTTCCTTACTAAATAAACGTGGTATTGCTTTAACTGATTCTTCAATTAAACCGTATCCTGGTGTAATGCATTTATCCTCTAAAACTTCCATCTTTGTGCATGAAATAATAACGTCATCAACTGTTGCGTCAGCAGATGTAGCGGCTAAGCTTGTAATTAATTTGGCAGGAAGTCCGATTTGTTGGAATTTGCGATCATATTTATAAATATGATTCATAATCTTTTCATAATTTTTATCAGTTATCTTTTCATAAACGTAATTTTGTAAATCAGCAACTCTTAACGGGTCAACCTGACAAAATACTAAAGTATCCCTGAAAACATAATATTTAAGAATGATATCACCAAATGATTTAGGATAATCATCGAACGCCTGAAATGCTAACAAATCATTTACCGGAATAATCATATCAAAAGTGACATCAACTTCTTCATTTGCTCTCTTGAAAACTTCTGAAGGGTCAATATATTTACCACATACTGAGTTATCATATTTTTGAACATTATTATATAACGAATGAACAAACTTTTTAACTTTCCTTTCTGATTTTGGTTTATATGTTGCAAATGCGAAAGATTCACGGGCGCAATCCATCTGAAGATAACCGGCATCACCTCTTTCGGTTTCTACTTCTAATTGTTTAAAGCTTTGATTTGATGATTTGTAACCAACGAATAAACGCATGCATTTAAAAGCGGCATCACATGTGAAAGCTTTATTTGAAACTAGAGTTGCTTTAACTTTGCGTTTAATATATGTGTCACCTAATTGGTTCACATCATGAGCTGGGTTTGTAATTCTTAAATGAGTTTGTTTATCATCAAAATATGGAGCATCAGAGTCATAGCATGAACTTTCAAGTTCTCTATAATATCTTCTACCGTCATTCTTTGCGAATATTTCATTTATCTTTTCGAATGAATGAAATACATTTCCATTAATTGGTTTAGTGTTTGGCACTAAATAGTTAGTCGTCATTTATTAATAAATAAAAAATCAAAATTAAAAGATGAAAATGAATTTTTAATTTTAATGAAATAATTAACTATGGCTGCAGGTATATTTAAGAAACTGTGGGATAAAGTAAAAAGAGGGGCGAGTAAAGTTTGGGAAACATTGAAGAAGGGAGCAAATTGGATATTTAAGAATAAAGAAGCAATTAGTGACGTTGCTGAATCAATAACGCCAAAAGCTGCCCCAATAAGAGAAATTTTAAATAAAGGAGAAAAAGTTTATCAAAGACTACAACCGATACTAAGATAAAAATAATATTTATTTATTTTTCCACTATCTACCTCCTATTTTATTAAGTATTCCTTCAGCTATTCCACCAATTGCGTTACCTGCTTGTGCTCCCATCGCCGGATTACCTGCTTTAGTACCTAATACTCCACCTATGATAGTTCCTGCCGTTTTCGCTACTGGTGCCAAAAAGTTTGCAACAGGTTTAATAATATTTTTATGAACCCAACCCGCAGCTTTCTTAATTCCTTCCCATAATTTTTTAAAGAATCCTGCCGCCATTTCTGATTTAATATTAATTAAAAAATATATTTCATCACTTATATTCTAATTTTTATTTAATGATAAATGAAACCAATTTTAAAAATAAATGAAACAGAGGAGGATGAAATAAATGAAAGTGGAAATGTTCAACAAAAAATAAACGTTGTTAAACCAATTACTGAAATAAAAATTTTTTCATCTATTGAAGAATTTAATGACTATTATGCCAATAATAAAAAATTATTTGAAGAATTGACAACATGTAAATTGAATAAAATGTTTAAAGTTGATGGATTCAAAATTTCAAAAATAAAGGGGGTGGTTAGTTTGAAATCTATTCCTCAATCAAGAATCACCTCATTAATGAAAATTGATGATTTAACAAAAAGAATAGAAGAGATTGAAGAAAGAATGAATCAAATAATTGATTTCATAAATTCAAATAATCATTAGTTTCTTAAAGTTCAATGTTGAACTCAATCTTTATTTTTAAAATCGGTTTCATTTATCATTAAATATCTGACATCATCTATATATAACTTCTTTTATAAAAGATGAAAAAATAAATTATTTTAAAATTAATGTTAATTTTTTTTAATGTGTTTATTACATTATGTATGGGCTGAGTGTAAATGTCTTACATTTTTGAATATTTTTAAATCTTGATTTATTCAAAAACGTAAGAATAAAAACCGTAAGAATCATACATTTTTTACTTCATATGTCAAAAAAAATCATACAAAATCGTTCAATATCGTATGAATTCTTACGTTTACAAAAAAAGTCACACAACCCGCTATATATACTACTAAAATCGCAAATCATTATTGCTTTAGTAACAAAATGTTCATCATTTATGCATAAATTAGGTGACTTGATGCTATATTGCATGACATCAAGGAAAAATTTTTCATAAATTTATTCGATAATTCAGATCTTTAATCATATTCTCAATATATTTTTGGAACGTATACCCTCTAAAGTATGATTAGTTTCTCACTTCGAACTAAGAAGATCTAGCATATCTTTGTTGTTCTGTTTCATTGCAATTTCTACTGGTGAAATTCCATTATTATCCTTTGCTTCTCGATCTGCACCATGTAACAAAAGAAATTTCGCCATATTTTTCTTATTATGAACTACACTATAATGAAGTGGCGTTCCTCCATTATTATCTTTTGCATTCATATCTGCTCCACGCATAAACAAGAAAACTGCAGATTCTGTACTATCATTTTCGGCAGCATAATGAAGAGCGGTTCTTCCGCCTATATCTTTTGCATGGATATCAGCTCCGTGAGAAATTAACATATCGGTTATTATATCGCAATTATAAAATGCGGCACTGTGAATAGCAGTTTTACCCTCTGCATCTTTTGAATTAACATCAATTCCATGAGATAAAAAGAAATTTACTATTAATTTGCTATTATTCTGAATTGCATATCCAAGAGAATTTACCCCATTATAATCCTTTTCGTTGATATTTACTTTCTTTTCAAGCAAAAACTTCACAATTTTTTCATTATTTTTCATTGCAGCATAATGCAATGGCATCGCACCACAATTATCTTTTACCTGGATATTGGCCCCTTTTGTAATTAATATTTCAATAATTTCTGGGTAATTATTTATTGTTGCATAATGAAGAGGTGTTTGTCCATTCGCATCCTTTGCATTAATATCTGCATTATGATCAATCAGAAATATTGTTGCATCTTTATTATTCATATAAGCAGCAATGTGAAGGGCAGTTGCATTATCTGAATCCCTTAAGTTTATATCTACTCCTTTAGAAAGAAGAAATCCCAGCATTTCGATGCAATTGTTTTTGGAAGCTTCATGAAATGGAAAAAAGCCAGCCCAAGTTCTCACGTTGATTTCGGCACCATTTGAAACGAGAATTTTTACAGCTTCTAATGAATTATTCATTGTAGCAAAATAAAGAGGAGTTAAATCATGACAATCTCTTGCATTAACATTAGCATGATGAGAAATAAGAAAATTAATAATCTCAATGCAATTGTTTGCAGATGCGACATGTAGAGCAGTTGTTCCATAAAAATCTGTTGTATTAACATCAAAATCATTTAAGATGAGCAGTTGTACCATCTCAAAACAATTTTTCGTTACTGCATAATGAAGTAATGTTCCGCCACTTTGATCTCTTGATTTCATGGAAGCTCCGTGTGAAATAAGATATTGAGCTAAATTTATGTTATTTTGCATAAACGCTAAATGAAGTGGCGTGACTCCATTATTGTCACTCGCATTTACATTGATTTTATTTAGGATTAGCATCTCGGCAATTTCATGATCATCCTTTAGAACAGCATAGTAGAGTGCGTTTGCTCCTCTGTCATCTTTTGCATTAATATCAGCTTTGTAGTCCAGGAAATATTCACAAAGAGATTTCATATTGAAAACTGGGGAGATAGCAAAGCATTTATTAATGTTTCTTTGATTTAATGCATATATGAATGCTTCGATGTTGTAATTCATTCCACACGTCAAAAGATCTATCTCAATCTGATAATAATTTACCAAATGCACTATAAAATCCATATTATGGGAAATAATTGCGTATTTCATACAATCATTATCAGGAACTTGGAATCGCAAACAATCTATCAAAATCTGAGGATTTCCGCCCATAAAAGAAAGCATCAAACATTTTTGAGTAATTTCGACGTTGAAACGTGATCTGAGCATCATAAAACAATTCGATGAACCATGATAGCAGCATAGTTCAATTAATGAATATCCCTTTTTTGATTCAGGATAGAATTCACTTTGCAATATTTGTTTTGGATCTATTTCAAATGTTCCAAATAAGCTGATATCATCTTTCATTATTGCATAGAAAAATGTGTTTTCTTTATGTACATCTGTAATATACCCTTTTTCATCAAATTCTTTGAATTTTTTCAGATTCATTTCATTAAAATTGATGCCATATTCTTTATATAAAAAGTAATCAAAAATGATGTAATTATAGTTGATTTGGTCAGGATGAAATTCATCAATAATCTTTTTGTAAAGAATCCAATATGATTTAAAATTTTTGTTATTATGAATTGCTGCTTCTTGTATTAATGTAAGAACTTTAGTTGGAGAAAATATCTTGGTTTCAATAAGCTTGTCTTTGATGAACTTATACGTATTCTCAATTTCGCTCTCTTCTGTGGAATGGAATCTAAACAGTGCATTAACTCCATCGATGTAGTTGGTTAAGTTCATATTCAATTGGTGTGGAAACTGCATTCAAAAAAAATGATCTGGAAACAATTAAACAAATTGAGAGAAAAAAATTTGAATGATTTCAGACTTCAATATACTATATAGGTTACTCTAAACGATCTAAACTTTAATTTATATTTTTATGAATTTTGGTGGTAAATTTGGATTCAGAGCACTTGATCATTTCAGTTTCCTGCAATTTTTCCTCATGAAATAAAGAAATTTCATAAACTAATTTATGTGATAAAGGATGTATGTAAAAATAAAGAGAATAAGAAAAATGTAAAAGAAATCATGATTTTTTGGCACAAATCAAGCTCCGAAAAGTGACGGTTTTGAAAAGTGCCAAGCTTTGCTATCATGACTCTTAAACAATCTGCAGACGCCGCAGAAAGAGCGAGACGTGAGCGCGAGCGCGAGATGCGTGAACGTCAAAAAGAAAGACTTGAAGAAGAAAAACAACGCAAAAAAGAAATCGCGGAAAGAACAAAATTAGAACAAGAAATATTGAAAGAAAAGCGTGAAAAACAGAAAGAAATATCAAAAGATAGAGCTCGTGAAGAAAAGGAAAAGGAAAAAGAAAGAAAACGCCAAGAAAGAGAGGAAGAGCAAAAGAAACGTGCAGAAGAATTGGAAAAAATCAAAGCTACCATTCCAGTTGAAGAGTTAGAGCTCCTCTATCCTCAGAAACAACCAAAGATTCGTGAAGCTCCACCAGAAAGATTCTTATGTCCAAATCCTGGCGTTCAACTTGTACCTAAGAAGGCTCGCCGTACAGATGCATCATTTAAATTTGAAGATTTCGTTGAATTCGTTAAGCCACTTCGTACATATGTGGGAAATACGGTTTTCAATGGTTTTCTTACAGCTGTTGGTGTTTGTGTCTTCATATTCTTCGTTATTCTGATGGAATGCTAAAAGTTATTATATATATACTAAAAAATTGATCCCATATTTCATATTTAAATTTCTTACTCATATTTATTTATTCTTTGAAATCAGTTCGAATAGTTATCAATAATTTTCTGGATATTGATCGGTTTATTCAGAATTTTTTGTAAGAAATTTTTTATTTTTATGAAATTTAACTTTAAAGATCTGTTAAGATATGGCTTTGTCACTAGGATGAGTCAAATAAGGTGATGTTATGCAAAAATGTCGGTTTTTACCTAAAAAAAAATCTAAAATTTAATAATTTTATAAAAAATTATCTTTATAGCGCACAAATTTTATAAGTATGGTTATTCTAATCGTTAACGAAACGAGGAATTTCTGAAAGATTTATTGGTTTCTTAGGAGTTGGATTTTCATTGACTCCGAGCTTCATTAGTTCCATTTCCTCATTGTTATCTGTTTTATCGATCAAATATCCCTCATCATCCCTTGTCTTGATATAAGATTTAGAAATCAAAACAGTTAATACAATTGCTGCACCTATTCCAATAATAGCTACTGCAACGATTCCGAATATAAGTGGCTTATTGTTCGCTTGCAATTGAGCGGAACATTTGACATTTTCTGGTTTGTGGCCTGGTAAAGAATACTTAATTCCACTTTCACTTGCCATAGCATATCCAGCAAATTCAACTGTACAGTTTGAATTGCTTATCTTATCCATCTTTCCGGTATATGTAAAGTCTAATTCAGCATGGCCTTCATGTTTAGGTATAACATTTGTAAAGAAATGTAGAGAGTTTGAATAAGAGCATGTGGTGCCACATTTGTATCCTCCATTTTGATCAAGCTCAGTATAAATATTTATCTGAGATGTCTTCGGAATTACTGATGCTGTAATTGATGGCTTCCCTACATGTGCACCAAACAGGCAAAACGGAATGTTCGCACCTGTGTCTATTGACATCTGAAAATTGATGGAATCAAGAGAATTATATAATATTGCAGAGCGGCTGCAAATTGTTTTAGGGAATGACCAAATTTTAATAGGAATATCTACATTTGTTGAGATGGTAGTGATTGTTACAGTAGATCCTTCAATAAACAAGCCGTTTTCTTTTGATAATGTGATTTCATTAGTATCTTTGTCGTCTGATATTTTTAAATTAAGTGATTTGTGTATTGTGTTATCAAAAATAAAGAAATAAGAATTCGTTTTCGTTGGAAGAGTTAATGTATCACCATTTTTGATAAACAATGATTGGTATCCATCAGGTACTGTTATTACGCACTGTGTATATTGAAAAAGGAAAAAAGAAAGCATTTGATAGGAATTTTAGAACGATTATTGTAAACATATTTCAGATTTTTGAAATTTCATTGTTTTGGTTGATATTGGGTTAAAATTAGCTTGGCAAGCGGTTTTTAAGTGTAAATCTTATAATAAAATGATGAAATAGAAGGATTGAGAGTATTACGGGCGTGTCAAAATATAAAATGCTAAAAAATGTATTTCATCGATTCTCTTCTAGCTGGATATTATCCGAGAAAGTTCTTGCAGAGAAAGATCGTGTTATAAATGAAATTCATCTTAATGAAGTTAAACGCCAAAAAGAAGGCATAGAACTGATTGCTTCAGAGAATTATCCATCAAGAGCATGCTTAGCTGCATTATCAACACACTTTAACAATAAGTATGCGGAAGGATATCCAGGTGCTCGCTATTATGGAGGCACCAAATACGTTGATGAACTTGAGAATGAAACAAAAAGACGTGCTCTAGATCTATTCAACTTGAATCCTAAAGAATGGGGTGTTAACGTGCAAGCCCTTTCTGGATCTCCTGCAAATTTAGCTGTTTATACGGCTTTATTAAACCCAGGTGATACATTTATGGGATTGAAGCTGAGTGACGGTGGACATTTGACACATGGCCACAAGTTAAAGGCTAAGAAGGTCAGTTCTTCTTCAATATTCTGGAATTCCGAACAATATACGTTAAATCCAAAAACATCTTTAATTGATTTCGAGAAATTAGAGCAGAAAGCTAAAGAACTACATCCAAAGCTCATTGTTGCCGGTGCAAGTGCCTATCCTCGCTTTATTGACTTCAAAGAATTCAGAAAAATCTGCAATCAAACAAATTCGATCTTAATGAGCGATGTTGCACATTACAGTGGACTTATTGCAGCAGGTTTATACCCTTCTCCATTCGAATATTCCGATATTGTCACTACTACAACTCATAAAACTCTCAGAGGTCCAAGAGGAGCTTTAGTTTTCTTCAAAAAGGAATATGAGAAGAAGATTAACAGTGCTATATTCCCAACTCTTCAAGGAGGACCTCATCTTCATCAAATTGCTGCTATTGCTGTTGCATTAAAAGAAGCAAAGTCAGAAGATTTCAGAAATTACCAAAAACAAGTTCTCAAAAACATTAAGGCTCTTTGCGACTATTTACAACAAAATAATATTGATATCGTCAGTGGAGGAACAGATAGCCACATGGCGTTGATTGATTTGAGAAGATATAACGTTGATGGAGCAAGGGTTGAGTTCGTTTTGGACCAAATGGGTATTACTACAAACAAAAATACTATTCCTGGTGGTTCCGTAGGATTGAGAGTTGGATCTCCAGCTATGACATCCAGAGGACTTGATGAAAATGATTTTAAGAAGATTGCCGAGTTTATCGTCAAAGGAGTCAAAATTTCAAAGGAAATTAAATCAAAATCTGGCAAGAAATTGTCTGATTTCAAGAAATTGGCGAAAAACAATGATAATATTAGGGAAATAAAGAAGACAGTTACGTCATTCGCTTCAAAATTCCCTCTTCCTGGATATGATGATTAAATGTTTTTGTATATTGATTAAAATAGAGCTTTTGAAATGGATCCCTATTTAGCATATGTTTGATTATATTTCTTTTAGTAAAAAGGAAAGAAAGTTGTATATCTCGAAATTCATTGGGAAAATTGAAGATTTATATATGAACTTGTGATTTTTATATCAATTTAGTAGTAATTATCTGTATTAATAAACATATATCTATGCTTATATCAATTTTTTGTCAAAAATACGAATATTTCGACTTTTTATATTTACAAACGCGATCAAAATCAATAATAGAGAATAACCACGTATTTAAATTTTTCGATTTTTTCCAAAATTTTTCAAAATTTGAAATTTTGAAAAGAATTTTCTAGATTTTTACCTTCGAAATTTTGAAATTCAAAAATTTTTGGTTTGAAATAGTCATTATATCTTATCAAGATTCACTCGCAAAACTTTTAAAAATCAATTGTGTTTAGTCTCATTTCGAATTACAAGATTTTATAAGATAAACTTCAAATTTTTATATGATGTCATATCTAAATAAGAAGTAAATTGTAGGTAGTAAGAAAGCGTTTTGTTTTTGTAATCGAAAATGTGTGATTTCAAATAAAATATATTATCAGTTTATGAAAAAATAGAGTGCTGACAATTTAGCTGCGCGGCTTTTCCTTCTTTCCGAGCCAGAGAGCAAGGAGTGAGAAACCAGCAACTTTGATGACTTTGAAGCGGCAGCCTGGAAGATCACCGACAGAACGGCCGGAACGACCCATACCGGCAATAAGAACACGATCGTTATCATCAATAAGACGAAGAGAACCATCGCGTGGAACGAAGGCGGTAACAACTTTAGAGTTCTTCTTAAGCTGAACACGAACTGCTTTACGAATAGCGGAGTTTGGCTGCTTAGCTTCGACAGCAACTTTGCCGACAACAATGCCGGAGGCCATTGAGGTGCCTTCAAGTGGTGTCTTGTAGATTGATGTGCCGAGTGAGCGACGATATGCGTTTGATGCCCAAAGGTTAGATTTGTGTGCAAGGCGAAGCTTGCGAGCGGCAAGACGGCCGCATGCCTTGGATTTGCCCATGTTTTAAAAGGCCATCACGATTAAAACGGTTAGGCTCAGCTATATCAAAAAATATTATCATTTAAAAATATAATAAAAACATACTCTATCAATAGGAACAAATAAAAACATCATTATTTTTAGAAATGAGGACTAATAAAAACATGATGTTCAACAAATCTATGCCTAGAGCTTCTCAGACCATTCAATTTTTTAAAGCAAGAAAAAATTTTATATCAGAGAGAGTAAAGCTTTCATTCGATCGATCATCAATTTTTATTGAATTTGATATCAGACATTTTTCGGTTAAAATATGACCACAAGGTGGAAATAGTTATATATTTGTCAAATATCTTCAGGCAAATGTTATTTAAAATCTTTCTCTTTATGGGAAGTGTGATGAAATTCTAATTTGACATTGTAAATTATTTTTTTTTGTAAAGTCGCTCGTTGTCAAATGTAAATATTACGTTATTATTTTAGAACACAATGTTCAGAGATAAATATCAAGCCGGTTTCTTGAACCTTTTCTATTCCGTTGGTTCCAAGCCATTAAGTATTTGGGAACAACACGTTGAAAATGGCTATATTAAAAGACTTACAGATCCAGATATCCGTTCTTGCGTTCTCGAAATTGTTAGCACAACAGTTAATAACACATACATCACATGCCCAATAGATCCAAAGGAAGAGCTTGCTATTAAGCTTCCTTTCTTGGTTTTAGTTCTTAAATATCTCAAGAAATACTTCACATTCGAAATCCAAGTTCTCGATGATATGAACATGAGACGTCGTTTCCGCGCCTCCAATTTCCAATCTAAAACACGTGTTAAACCATTCGTTTGCACACTTCCAATGAGACTCGACCCAGGTTGGAACCAAATTCAGTTCAACTTGAGCGATTTCACTCGCCGTGCCTATGGTACAAACTATATTGAAACACTCAGAGTTTCAGTTTTCGCTAATTGCCGTGTCCGCCGTATTTACTTCTCCGACAGACTTTACACAGAAGATGAAGTTCCACCAGAGTACAGACTTATTCCTACAAAGCCAGAAGGCGAAGAGTAATCGAAATTCGAGCGACCATAACTTATTATTCCCAAAAGCATTGTTATTTAATAAGTTATGTATTTTTTTCGATCATCAAATAAAAAATGTATTCAAAAAAATAATATAAAAAAAGATTTTTGCTATTGGCCACTATAATTACAAAAAAAAGTGATAATGGCTGAAGGAGTGAGCCCCATTGTGGTAGATTCCGAAGAATCCAATTCGATAACTCTACGAGCAGACATGCACAACGACAAGGTCTTTAAACCCAGCGAAGTCATTGGTCACCATCACGGCCTGCACTTTATGCTAACTGTCTGGGGACTTTCCCGAGGGATGAAGAATGGAGAACCCATTCAGTATGGAACCCTCACCGAATTCTCTTCAGCCACTATGCCTTGTCAAAACCGTTTTATAAAAATGCTCTTTTGAGCACAAATCTAATAAATGTGATGTTAATATATAAATTCCTATTCTAGCAAATATTCTCCGCTAAAGTATGTTATTTTTGTTTAATATTGAATCACATATCCTGTAATATTCAATTTCTACCTTGCAATCAGGTAGAAAGACATATTTATGTAGAAAAACTCAAGCATCATCCTATTATGAGAGAAGTAAATGCAATATTAACAAACTTTTATTAAATTATTTGTTTGTTTAGGCTTTAAATTAACTTGACATACTTTGCTAACAGCAAAAATACATAACTAATATATTTTTAACTGCTTCAAAGTCTAATTTTACTTCAATGAACGTTTAGAGATTTTATAAATTTCAGAAAAATTTTGAGGAATGACTGATGAAGTTCCGGAAAAAGATTATGATTTAAGCAACCTTCCTCCTGAAGCATTTGCTGACCCAAATCCAGGAGCTCAAGTTGTAGAAGAAGATAATAATCCAATAATTTATTCACTTCCGCTCAACAAGCGTAAATTTACTAAAGACACAGAACCTGATGAATGTGGAGAACCATCAATATCAAAAGATGCAGCTACAAAATCATTAAGCTTATTAATAGGAAATGATTTCAATTTACTCAAAAATCGCGCTTTCAAAAACAAGATTAAAGGTCTTAATGCACTACAAAATATCTTAGGAAAGGAATGCGATTTGGATTCAAATGCAGATGCTATTTATCGTGGTTTAGAAGCAATTATTGGCTGGAAAGAGAGAATTGCGGCCGTTAACAGTTTGCTTATTGATGTTTTCCGTACAGTATTAGTAAAGTCAAACAATATTAAGAAAGCTACAGTTGCAATCATCATTCCGTTTTTAATTGATAAATTATCCGATCGTGCTCTTAAAGACCCTTCATCAGAGCTACTTGAAATGATTGCTCAAGCAATCTGTCCTTCATTTGTTTTACTTCATGCAGGAAAAGCCATTGCCGCTCTTAAAAATGGAAAAGTTCAGGCATCAGCACTCGAAGTCTTAGTTAATATTGTTAAGAAATTCGGTATAGGAAGTATATCCATTGAGCATTTCCTTCCTGTTTTAATTTCTCTTCTTCAAAATACAAATACCGCTGTTAAAACACCAGCAATTGTAATATCAACATATATCTACAAACAATTAGGAGAGACATTCCAAAAACAGTTAGAATCTCTTCCAGAGTCAGTTCAGTCCACATTATCAAATGAATTTAAGAATGCAGAGAATCTTCCAGCTCCTACAGAGAAGTTCTATAGAACAAGTGATAACAAAGCCCTTGAAGAACTTGCCAAACTTAACGAACAACTGAACAAGGAAAAAGCTGCCGAAGATGCCGCAAAAGCAAAAATTTCAAATGTTATAACTCCAGAAGTTTTGGCAGCGGCAGAAGCAGCCCAGAAGTTCAAAGATTTCGATGAATTCTTCAAGACAATTGACGGAGCAATCGCTGAAATGCCTTACGTGATGACAAGTGACCTTGGCCCTGTAATGGCTTTGTTCAAAAACTATATGACAAAAAGTGACAGAATTATATTAAACACATTCACAACTCTTGCAAAGATTGCTCAAAAAGCCGATGGCGATTTTGATAAATACGCACGTCTCTTTGCTCCTTTCATTGTCCAGAAGTGGACTGATTTCAATGAACACAGCAGAGACATTGTGACAGCAACTGTCAACGCTTTTCTTCCGAAATCAGGAACAACTCCTTTTGTTGATGCTCTTTCTAAAACAGTTTCAGATCCGAAGTTCCAAAGTTCATCAAGGTTGACATCTCTTGCATGGATGGAAAGTGCTTTTCAGCAGTTCACTCCAGGAGATATCGAAAAACTTAAAATAATCGTTCAATCATTTATGAACGATAAAGTTGCAAATGTCAGGAAAGAAGCACAAAAACTCTTAGATATGATGGGTGTTCCGCAGAAACCGAAAGAAGATGCAATTCCTCAGAAGTCAATCAAAGAAATCCCACAATCTCCAATAACAAGAAATGTTAGAAAGAGCAAAAGAATTTCCGTAGAAAAGAAAGATCCAAATGAATCATCAGTGATGATACAAAAAGAAAAAGAAGTTGAAAAACCACAAGTTGTAGATGTTCCAAGATTCTCTCAGGCAACACAATCAAAGAAACAGAAGAGATTAGCCATATTGATTAGAGTTGGCTCTGCTTTAATAGCCAACAAGCAAAATATTATTCCTTTCAGTGATAAATGCAAATTAGATGCTTCAAATCATCTTCCACAGACTTTTACAACAAAATTGTTCTCAAATCAAATGAACGAACAACTGAAAGCTCTTGAAGAAATGAACCAATTCTTCCAAGGAAATGAATCATCATTTTATAATACATCAGATATTTTCTTGAGATGGCTGATCATTAAATTGTTTGACAAAAACATCAAAGTTGTTCTTGATGGATTCCAATTCATGTCTAAACTTTATTGTGACAATAATCCTATGACATCACAAGAAATGGACATGATTATTCCAATCATTTTCTGGTGCATGGACAATAAATCTCAGCAAATCGTTGATGCAGCTTTAGATTTATTAGTTATCATTAGATTGCACTCAGATATTAACGAATACTCCTTGAGTTTGCGCTCATGCATTCCAGGAGCAACAAACCAAGTATTGATTCATATTTTCTCCGAATTACAATTATGTGTTGGAGAAAATTCTTCAAACAGAGAAGTTTTCTACGAATTGATGGGATACACAAATAACAGTGAAGTTGGAGTTTCAGCAGCTTGTGGAGGAGTTCTTGCTTTAATTGCCAAGAACATGTCTACAGAGCAGAAGCTGAATCTTTTCAGTAGCTTCACTAAAGAACAAATCGAGTTCTTGACACCTTTCATCCCAATTAACATGTCAGAAGAAGTTTTGTTTAATAGTTTCGCTGATTCTTCACAATCAGAAAAAGCTCATATCCTTAGAGTCCTTGTTCAACAGTTAAGTACTAATCCAGATTCAATTGATGCACAAGCACAATCAATTGCTGAACAACTTTCTAAGGAATTAATGCAAACTGAGGCGAATTATTCAATTATCAAACCAGCTCTTTATGTTTTGCATGAAATTACGAACAGATTCGAGATTACACAAGAAACTCTTCAGGAAGAATTAGGATCAATCTGTTTCGTTGCAACATACTTCAACAGATCATTAAAAGCTATTGATGGAATTGCTCAAATGATTAATTCATTAATCTACAAATTGTTTGAGAAATTACCAGCACAACTTTCATTCATTGCTTTAATGAGATCAATGGAATCTGTTGAAGAAGTTACAGACACATCTTTCTTTGCTAAAGCTTTTGTTGTTCTGATTTCTTCTGTTGTTGATAGAGATGCAAAAGAACTTGATGAAGCAAGGAAATATCTTTCACAGCAACTCAATCATCTCCAAAATTCAAATGCAAAACAGTTAAGAAAAGGAGATGTTCGTGTTCAATTAATACAAGCAGCAATCCAAGCAATAACACAAAAGGCTGCTCCAGAAGTTACAATGGTTTCCAAGAAATCATCAAGATTATCAACAACTTCAACTACTGCTTCTGCAATTGCATCACATGTTGCGGCTCTTAAACAAAAGAATGAAGAAACAACAGAGTCAAAGAGAGTTCCAATCAAATCTGCCTTCCAAAAGAACGAAGAAACAAAACAAGGAGTTACACCGAGATCAAACAAGAAAGAAAGAAACAATTCTTTGTTTGATGACAGTATTTCTACCTCAAACATTGTAAACTCACCAAATTCAAGGAGTAAATCAATATTAAATAACAGTGTTGAAGCATCAGAAATATTATCTCCAACTAAGTCTTTGAATGAAAGCATGAATAAGACACAAAATGAGAGTTTTAATACAACACAAAATGATTCAATTCTCTCAACAAGAAGAGTATTAAATGATAGTGCATCAAAGAGAATGCCAAGAAAATCATTGAATAATAATGAAAATAAGATAACTATCAGTGCATTACCTAAAGAAGATCAATCTCCTGTACAAATAACAAGGAGTCCTTATAAAGTTTTATCTCCTGCAATTGAAGCTCCAATTAGTTCAAGAGTTTCTTCACCACGAGATACTAATTTCACACCAACAAAGAAGAGTTCTATTGATGACAGTTTGTTGAACACACCGTCACCAATGAAGAAAGCTAGTGAAATGCCAGCATCTCCAAAGATTTCTCCTATGAAATCTCTTCAGAAGAATAAGAACCCACCTAAAGAAGAGAATGTCACTTCAACAATCTTAACTCCAACAAAGAATGGAGGAATGAGCCCAACAAGATTGGAAATTATTTCACAAACTCGTGGCTCTCCAGTTGCACAAGCTCTTTCAACAGCTTTGTCAACCAGCACAAAAGAAAAAACTAAGAAGACAAAGGGTTCAAGTTCATCCGTATCAACAAATAATTCAACAACTTCATCAACACGTGTTACAGAAAAAGCGAAGAAATCAAGTTTAACTACATCTACAAATTCATCAACAACTACAAAAGCTAAAGCAAGAACATCAAAGAATTCAACAAATGATACAACAACTACCACAAAGACTGCTAAACAGTTAGCAGAAGAAAATAGAGCTAATATGAAAGCAAGAATTGCTTACCTTAGAGAAAAATGGAATAAATAATTATTTTTATTTTGCTTTTTAAAATATATGAACATATTTTGTTATCAATTAAGGCACGTTTTGAATTTCACGCGCATAATTCACAATTTTTAAATATATATATATAGTGTTTAAGTGGGGAACTTTGATATTTTTTTCCCACACCACAGTAGTTTCACTTTTTGCATATGAACTCTATATTGATTCTGGCTAGAAACTAGAGAAATTAAAATTTTTCAATTTTTGGCCCATTAAAAGTACCTTTTTGAAAATAAAAAAATATTTTTATTAATTATGTGTGATCTTCGACATATATTCATAAAATCAAGTGATTTGGAGTGATTGGCAGAAAATGTAAGATAAAGAGTAAGTTCCAGATGATTACTTATTTTATTATATGAGAGAATCTTACACTCTAAGCTCTATGTTTATTCATAATAAATTTATGAATTTTGCGTTGTTTATTAGGGAACTTTTGATGCTAATAACTAGTCATCTGATCCATTTTGCAAGAAACTTCATCTAATGCAATGCTTACACATAGACTTAAATATACAATGAACATATTTACAAGAAGAAAAAAACAAATTTTAGACCATAAGAACAAATGATAAAGAACATAAGCATTAGAAAATATAGAGCCCTTAGTTTTTTTGGTTATATAAAAAACAAATAGTAAATATAGTCATCTCAAAATCGCAGTTGAATAGCAATTCAATTTTTTGAGAGAAAAAACGTGCATGAAATGCGATATGATTTAATTATATTGATAATTCAAAATAAACATTTTGAATATTGAATAAATGTAAACATCTAATTTTGTTAGTCCTGTCTTTCTCATGGATTTATAACAGTATGCATCATGGATTGCTTGGTTTTATTAAAAATTTGCAATTTGGGTCACATTTTTAATCATTAATATTTTGAAACTCAAAATCAAGACATTTTAATGAATTTTGATATATTACAGTTAGTTACTGCATCAATTCTGATGAAACAATGCAATTTCAATTTTCTGAACAAAAAATGCTCGTTTATTATTTTCGTGGTATGATGGATAAATGAATTAACAAGCCGAAAAGCAAACCCAAACTAGCAGAAAATGGATGCTTTTCCATTTGCGTTAAAAGGTCAAGTAGAATTTCTTAATTCGCCATCAAATTCAAATCATTTCCTGCTGGATGTTTCCATTATTTGTATGGTCACATTGTTTTGGGACTACAAATCTGAATCTCTAGTAACAAAGCTCAAAATTCTTCCAAATCAAAATTTTATTTTGGATTTTTTTCCAAATTACAAAATTTCATTTCGAAAAGAGGATACTACATGGAAGCTAGTATGTATTCCTTAATTTCGTCCCAAAATCAATTGGATTTAATTGATAATTCCTATCGTCTTTTTTTCCAAAAAAACTATTTATTATTATTCTTTGTCTTGTATATAGATAGTAAAAATCTTCAACTTAAAACTTTTCTTAATCTCATAGAAAAAAAAGCCCTCAAATTAAGCGTCCAGAGCCTTGCCCTCTCAATCAAAATTAGAGTAGTGAGGTTTACAAATCCCAATTCAATACACAGAGGTTTACATTTTATATTGAGGGGCCCTCACTACTGAGATTTTGGGAGGACTATATATTAATTTGATCTATGTAACTCATTCAAGTCTTTTTTATTTTATTTTTTTTTCAAAAAAATGCAAAACGAAGAACTGAAGTATCCAGTTCAACCTTTTGTATTTGAATTTGCTAGAGATGCTTCTAAGAAGTTAAGTTTTTCAGATATACAAATGAAACAACCCCAAAAGGTCGATTATGGACCAATTGAAGATTATTTAAGAACAAACGATGCATTTCTCAGAGAATACGAAGAAATTAACAAACCAGAAGTTGCACAAAACAATACATATCAAGATTGTCAAGTTTCGAAAATTTTTTATGATCCGAATTTCGATTTACGCAAAACAAAATATTTCAACGAAGTTTTTCCAAGTGGATGCCTCAAGCAAAGACTATTTTCGGAGCAATTGATCCTCCAACTCGATACAATTCAAAATTTACTTTATCATTCTTCAGATAACCATGCTTTAGACTTTTTCCAGTCATTTTCTGCGATTCACGACATGAACTCAGAAATTGCTGCCCTCTTACCTAAAGTAAAAACCATGAGAAATGAAGTTGCAACTTTGCAACAAAATGCGAACGCTCCAAATGCCATAACAGCACTGATGAACAAGAAGTCCCGACTCCAAAGCATCCAGACAACTCTCGACAGCATGAAAAGAGTCGTAGATGCAGGCCCAGCAGCGATTGCTTACGCCGAAACAGGAGATTTCAATACAGCCTTCGTAACACTGGACGAAACCATCGAAACTCTTAAATCCAAACTCTTACAAATCAAATCAATGCATAGTTACCTATACAAATTACAAGATACGAAAAATTTAATCGTAAAGAAGCTTAAAGACACATTTTGCAGCATTTTTACCAGAGATGATATCAATATCTCAGACATTGTTGCAGTTATTGTCCAGCAAAACCTTCTTACTGAAGTATTAGATTATGTAAACACATTTCTTGGCCAATATTCACATGATCAAGTTCTAAAGATCATTACACAGATAGCAGATCAAGATCTACAGTCCATATCCATCAGCAAATTCACAGAAGCCCTTCAAAACTCGTTCCCAATTATTAGATTAAAATTATTTGCCAAAGGAACGAACACCATTGAATCCATAGCCTCAGAATTCGAGAAGTACTCCAAGGAATCCTCCGAATCCGTGAAAGGACTCATCCAAGTCCTATGTAATAACGTATACGAAGAAGTTATCGGTATAATCAGCAGCCAACCCCTGAAGAACGTTGATTTAGATAATTTCTCAGCCATTTACGACTCAATTATTAACTTTGGCCGTGGTTTCGACAAATGTTCGATCAATGATCATCTTTTACAGCAAAGTTTGTATAGTTTCGGACAGCAGTTCATCGAAACCTTCGACAAAGACCTCAAAGCACGTGAAGAACTCGCGACATCATCAGATAAATGGCAACATACAATTTCCGGAACACTTCACCTTGAAATTTTACGTCGTCTAACAACAGGAAACAAATTAGACAACTTAGTAATAGAAGACAGCAAGTTCGGTGTCACAGCATCAGCGTTGACCATGCTAGAGATCATTTGGAACTACTTAGAAGCCGCGAGAAGAATCAAAGGAACAGCAGATGACTTTACAATTAAATTGGCCGCAGCGATATCGAATTATTCCAGGCAATGCATGTATTACATTTACGAAGGAGCTGCAGCCAAACAAGGGAAGTTTAAGAATACTTCTACAAGGCATTTGAGTCTTGCAAGTGCTAACATTGAGTTCATGGCCAGATTGATATCATACATTACTCCTAGATTGGAAACAGTTGGCGCAAATAGAAATATTGTGTCTGTTCAGATGCAAAACGTGTCAAAGAATTTGATTGAAAATGAAAACAAGTTAAATACACAGATCTGCAAAGTGTTGACTAATAAAATATCTGAACACATGTCGAAGATTGATTTGGATCCAAATGGAATATCTCCTTTCGTTGAGAAAGTCGTGAAGGAAGTAAACACATTGAACAACTTCATCAACGAATTCCTGCCAAAGAAAACTGTGCAAATGATTATGGATGTAATTGGAAAACACATAAATATGACTATTTCCGGACAACAGAACGCAAAACAGCCTCTGATAAAGAATCCTCTTTTCCAGAGAGACTGCAGCGCATTGGCAGAAAGATTGGCTCCTGCTGGAATCTCTATCGAAGTTTCTAAATATTAAATTTTTATTTATTTATATCAAATTTTTCTATGATATCAAGTAACTTAATTTTGATTTGGAAAAGGTTATCATAAATCACTACCTAGTACATCAAATGACTGTCATTTTTTTTTGCTGTTGAAATAAAGATACATTGATATTTTGAGTTAAATATTGTTTATTATTTGTAAAATGATGTAATGAGACTTAATATAAAACATAATTCATTAGGAAGAGATGCATATGACTTTAATGTCATTATTTGTAACGCCTCTTTTTCGAAAAAAGTTTATACTTTTTGACGAAGCAATTTAGATAGTTCATCTGGCAAAAATGTAGGGTCATACTGTTATATACGAAAACGATAAAAACAGTTTGACAGAAAAGTGACAACTTTACGTGTCAAAAATATAAAAAGTGATATTTTATTCATCATTATCTTCTTCATAATTTATTTCATATTCTTCGTCTTACCAACAAAAGATGGGAATGTGAACAATTGCGGGCAATTTTTAGCCATTTTGGCTTGGAACTAGAGCCTGCGAGGTACATGGATAGTATCAGTACCTCACAGGCTCTAGTTCTCTATATGGCGCCGAGAAATTTTGGTGAAATGTGGTCGCATTTCACCAAAATTTTTTCGGCGCCATAGGATGAATTGGAGGGTGAGAGATATTATTTCATACAATACTACTCTCACCCTCCAATTCCCAGCCAAAATGGCTAAAAATTGCCCGCAATGTGAACAATTGCGGGCAATTTTTAGCCATTTTGGCTTGGAACTAGAGCCTGCGAGGTACATGGATAGTATCAGTACCTCACAGGCTCTAGTTCTCTATATGGCGCCGAGAAATTTTGGTGAAATGTGGTCGCATTTCACCAAAATTTTTTCGGCGCCATAGGATGAATTGGAGGGTGAGAGATATTATTTCATACAATACTACTCTCACCCTCCAATTCCAAGCCAAAATGGCTAAAAATTGCCCGCAATGTGAACAATTGCGGGCAATTTTTAGCCATTTTGGCTTGGAACTAGAGCCTGCGAGGTACATGGATAGTATCAGTACCTCACAGGCTCTAGTTCTCTATATGGCGCCGAGAAATTTTGGTGAAATGTGGTCGCATTTCACCAAAATTTTTTCGGCGCCATAGGATGAATTGGAGGGTGAGAGATATTATTTCATACAATACTACTCTCACCCTCCAATTCCAAGCCAAAATGGCTAAAAATTGCCCGCAATGTGAACAATTGCGGGCAATTTTTAGCCATTTTGGCTTGGAACTAGAGCCTGCGAGGTACATGGATAGTATCAGTACCTCACAGGCTCTAGTTCTCTATATGGCGCCGAGAAATTTTGGTGAAATGTGGTCGCATTTCACCAAAATTTTTTCGGCGCCATAGGATGAATTGGAGGGTGAGAGATATTATTTCATACAATACTACTCTCACCCTCAATTTTAATTACTTAAACTCATTCTATTTTTTTGACATGTAAATGTCACTTTTACTGAGATCTAACACAATGTCAGATCTCTTTTTTTCGTATATAAGAATACAAAATTTTTGATGTGTTCGCAAAAGAGAATTTTTCAAAAGAAAATACTATATCATAGAAACAAATCACATGTTTGATGAAGCCTTTGCAAATCAATGAAATAATACACAAATCGGCTCCTCATTGTTAGTGCGATCTATTCATTTCAAAAACTCTCTTTAAATATTTATGTTCTAATGGACAATCATTTAATGTCAAAAAATGTTCTATTTAGATTTACTTGCAAATAACATATCATCCCATGATGTTGACTTAGAAAATCATTAACTAGATGCCTTCTTTCAAATTATATAGGATATACAAGCATTATGATTCGCAGTTTAGATTTTTTATTTTCTCTTAAATATTTGAGTAGTGTTCGGAACAACAATAGTGTTGATTATTCAAAAGATGGGATATATTCAACAGGATTCCATAAGACAAAGTTTGCATATGGATCCAATTGGATTCTATTAAGTCATCATAATTCAACAAATAACCAATTTTTTTTTTCGACCAATCAATGTAATAATTCAGACGAACATTTATATTCTATAGTTAACTCATATGATTATATTTCAACTCTTGAGCATTTTAAATATATAACATTATTATTAGAATATAAACAAATAAATTCCTATCAAATTTGGAAGCAAAACATATCCTTGCTAGATAATGGTGAGCACGAATATATCAGAGTCAAAGGCGATACTTGGGATAATTTTAAAGGATTAAAACATTCTATAGGGTGTGATTGTATTGACTATACTGGAGACGGTGTAGCATGGTGGTATAACATTGGGGCATTTAGCAAAAGTTACAGGCCTTATTTTCCTGGTCCAATAATTAATAGATCCATAATTTAGTATTGTTTGCAGATCTATGGATAGAGCTTCATAATGTTAAACAATCCTGTTTACAACCACCAATATATTTTCTTCGTAATACATTTTCATTATTAATCTTGATTCTCGTGTAAGATTAGTTAATTAATAAGCGCAATTTATCTTTCCTTTCATATCGAAGTTTTAACAACTAATATTATAAAAAATATCAATCTTTTTTTTTAACATTTTTCCATTATTTCATATTAAAATGACTCTCCATGCAGGAGAATACTCAAAGTTATTATATTTTTTAATAGAATTCAGGCATGCTTTGAAATCAATAAACCATTTTCCTAAGTAAAGTCTCCCTGCCGTTTTCCCGCCTCAACATTGAGTGAACCTCTAATAATATTTTGAATAAGAGACTTTGCGAAGAGAAAGGAGTTTATTTAAAAATTAAAGATGATTATGAAACAACAATCTTACCCAGATCACACATCAGATATTTTATTATTATATTTCAATCCAGATGTTAAGAAGTTGCTTATTGATGATGTATCATTAAGGAATCTACATAAACCTTGATTCAAAGTTATAGGCAAGTATATTACAAAATGGACTCATTTCTATTGTTAGACGTCCATATTATTGAAGGAAATTATCTAAGATTGTGATAAACTAAAAAAAAAGTTTTAATAGTTTAATAATAAACTCTATAATAAATATTTTATTTGTTCCTTGAAACAGTAGCTCTTTTATCAGCTTTCTGCTCGATATTTTCTGTCCAAATTCCCTTTCTCTTTCTTACTATTTCGATGATTTGTTTTGAAACATTTGGTTTAATTTCTTTTCCATCCTTTCCGTATTCTTCAATTTCTTCTTCTGTCTGTGGTTTCCAGAATGGATCATCTTCAACCATCTTGTAGTGTGAGAAAGAGAGTTGTGGATGTGCCTTTCCTGATGTTTTAGATCTCAAATCATTTGGAAATCCGAATGATTCAATAACAGGCAAATAACAAGTGATCAAACACGAATTTGTTCCTTCTTTTGTTTTCTCTTCAACAATTTCACATCTGTGCTGCAACAAAATATCATAAGCTCTTCCAACAACTGAGTAATCACATTGTACATCGCATCTATACAATGGTTCCATGATTCTCGGTTGAGATTGTAAGAAAGCCTGTCTGAAACTTTCCTTTGCGCATGCAATTGATTCTCCGAATTGAAGAGGTGAATTAGACACGAAACTTTCATCATCATCATCCTGCAACAAATAAGCCAATGTCAATTGTTTGATTTCTATTTTTTCAACAATGAAACAGACACCAAACAAAGGTTCTTCGCAAAGAGGACCATTATTAACACACAATCTAAAACCTGCTGACAAAGAATTATGTAAATTCTTGTATTCATCACTTACAACTAATAAATTCGATCCAGAACAAGCGATTACTTTTTCATACAAATCAGGAAGATATTCTTTGAGTTGTTGTTGTAATTGTTTTGTTTCCCAATTATTTTTAGACAACAACAAATCAACAATTTCCTGTTTGAGTTTGAAAGAAGATGAATAAATCGTTGTTCTTCCCATTGTCACTGATTTCGGCTCATTTGTTTTGTCAATGATTGTTTCTTTGCATGGAACTAAAGGAAGAGATGTTGTGAACTCTACTTTAGCTAAGTGTTGTTTGAGTTCATCAATACAAAACTGTAAATGAACTTCTCCCATGCAATGCAAAATTAACTGGCCGTTTTCTTCATGAGAAATTTTTACGGCCGGATCAATTTTCGCGAGTAATTCGGCGCCTTTCAAAAGACTTGCTTGGTCTGCAATTTTTATTGCTTCGATTGATACATTGACAATTGGCTGAGCATTGTGAGTAACAGTTGTAAACAAAGGGAAATCTTCTTCATGGCAAAATGTACTTTGTTTGAGAATTGGCTCTTCCAAAGCAATTCCAACAACACAGCCTGCAGGAGCGGTCTTGATTTCAAGGAGATCGCTGCCCATGAATAAATAAAGTCCTTTGACAGTGACTTTACTAACATTTGGCTCTTTCTCGTGTCTGACATACAAAACATCGTTTGGACGAATTGTTCCGCTGTAAACACGCACGTACATGACAAATGGATATGATTCTGATGGGAAATGAAGCATCGCGCCATGTACAATCTTTGGACTAAATGCAATCATCGGGCCGTTTTTGTCAACACGTTTTGCGGCATCGAAAAATTTTTGGTATTTTTCTTCTAAAAGACCAGGACACATCTTTGGAATGGTAATAGGTTGTGCGGAAGCAGGAGTTGGAAGGAACTTGACAATGGTCGATAAAAGAGAGTTTGATAAAGGAATCCATTTGGATATGATTGAGATTGGGGTATCTCTGGCTGTTACTTGCACATTTAGACGCTGTGCAAGTTGTGTAATGTCGCATTTCTCTTGGTAGGCTTTCCAGATAGGTGTTAAGAGCATTTGTTGGAAAAATGTTTTTGATTGAGGGGTTGGCTTGCGTTTTGTAATATGTTTCGTCTTCGGATCCCAGTATTTAAGGCCCCAGAATAGTTCTGCGGCCTTTTCGGGTGTGACACCAAGCTTATCTGCAAATTGAGATGAAATATCTGGAACTGCAAAGCCCCATTTGCCAATGCAGGATACAAAAACAACGTTTCCGATGGATGGATCAAATGGGGGATCTTCTTGTAGTGTTGCGGCGTTGATTTCTTGTAATAATTGTTCTAAATGTAATTCGGCATCTTCAGGTGATAAATCTAGTTCTGTAAATAGTCTATCTACCTTGTTTATAACAAGAATCGGCTTAAGGTTGTTGTTGAAAGCGCATCTAAGGACTAATTCTGTCTGGACACAAACTCCTTCAACAGCATCAACAAGAATTAGACAACCATCTGATAATCTAACCGCATTGGATACTTCAGCTTCGAAGTCGACATGTCCTGGGGAATCAACAACAGTTAGATAAAATAATTCATTTTCTTTTCTGTAAATCAATGAAACTGCTGATGTTTTCATCGTGATATTTCTTTCACGCTCTGCTTGAAGGCAGTCCATGTAGCGGACTTCGCCTGCAAGTTCTTTTGTAATAATGCTATTACTTGAAAGAAGATGGTCACAAAGAGTTGTCTTACCATGATCAACGTGAGCAAGAATGCAAAAGTTTAATGTATGTTCTGGACGAGAAATTACTTTCTCTACTGTTTCATGTGAAAAATTAAACATTTAAAAAAATTGATTTTGGACAAAAATTTTAGGACCTTTCAATTTTTTTTCTCTCTTCATCGATAATTTTCTTTTCAAAAATTTTCCTCCCTTTCAATGTAATTGAAAGAACTTTGGAGGAATATATATTTACATGTTTAATAGGGACAAAGGTAGTCCCACGAAGATCTAAACAACATATTTCAAAATGAATAAGATAAATAGGATCAGTAGGCTCTAAATATGAATGTTGTGAGCTTTTATATATATATAAGTTACTACAATATAGTCTAAATGAAATAACTAGGAATTATAATGTATGACAATGGGCGGGACTAACATCATTTATTCTTGCTTGAAAAAATTTCTGCAAAAGAAGTAAAACGATTGATAAAATGTTATATGCTTATGCATATTGTAACATTTCTATAGATACAATATATCTAAATTTGCTATAATTTGAATTCTTGATGAAAATAGTATTCGATAATTAATGATTGGTGCGTTTTCGAAGCCCTCACTTGGTGATAGATATTTGCTGTACATATAAATACTACCAAATCCGCAGTGTCGAAATATTTCCGAATTCTTTGTGATCATTGATTTACACATGTTTAACACAATATTTGTTTCTTCTAATGAGTTTAAAAGATATTTATATGTTAAAATTTAAATGCATCCTTTTAAAAAATTAATAATGTCCGACCAAGATGTTAACCCAAATAAATACAGCGAACTGCGAAGTATCTTTAAATACTATATTGGCATATACAATGAGTTGTATCAGCTGAAAACAGAAAATGAAGAAGATTTAAAAGACATTTACAAAATTATCAAGACAGAATTGATTGATTCAATGAAATATCTTCCCATAAATGTAATTAAAGATATTTTAAATATCATTCCGTATAATAATCGCTATACAAAGTCATATTTATCTCTTGCCAAACTCATTTCTGACGAATATCATGTCAAAGAGGTCAAAAAAGTTGCAACTATTTCAAACTTTCTGTTTTATAAAGAATATGGAATTAAATTAGACAAATCTGCTGATTTTGAAAAAATTAACTCAGAAAATCTTGAAATTCATACAGGAGATACAATTTACAGAGCAATTATGTATAATGACCTTGAAAGATTCATATACTTCACCGAAAGGGATGGATTTGATAAAGACCAAAAACTTAAAAACAGTTTATATCCATATTCTTACGAAGGATATTTATTGCTTGAATTATGTTGTTACCACGGAGCAGTTGATTGTTTCAAGTTATTGAGAATGAAATTTAACTCAGAAATAACTCAAACATGTCTAGAATTTTCATTTTTAGGCGGAAATAAAGAGATCTTGAGTGAATGTTTGAAATATCAAACACCAGATGAAAAATGCATGTTTTATGCAATTATTTCACACAACATTGATTTTGTTACACTCTTGGTGAATGAACACAATATAGAGATTAATTTATATTATTGTGGAAAATATAATAATCTTGAATCATTTTTAGTTTATTATGATCAAACTGATGATTTTAACAATTGCTTTATTAATTCTCCGTTATGTAATATTCTATCTCTTTGCGAATATTTCTTATCACATGATGCGAATATCAATGAAAAAGATAAAAATGGAAGAACCGCTCTTCATAATGCGGCAGAAAATAGTAGTAAAGAAATAGCCGAACTTCTTATTTCACATGGTGCGAATATCAATGAAAAAAATAATCAAGGAAGAACCGCCCTTCATTTTGCAGCAGGGAATAATAGTAAAGATACAACCGAACTTTTTATTTTACATGGGGCAAATATCAATGAAAAAGATAATTATTCATTGACCCCTCTTGCTCTTGCACGTATACATGATTGCAAAGATACACTCGAACTTCTTGAATCACATGGTACAAAAATATAATATTCAGCTTATATCGGCGCGCAGCTGTGCAGCCATAATTAAAACATATATTTTCATTAACGTTTAAAGTTCTGAAAATTTGAATGCCTGGAAACTTTTTAATGCAATTTAAGAATATTCAAGGAATTAGTCTATAACGCCCGAGGTGTCTAAATCAGCTATATCAAATGTTAATATATGCATAAACTATATATTTACCCTTTTCTGAATTACATTAATGCTTTTTAGGGTTTAATTCTGATGTAAAATTACAAAATCTCATTATTTTTTGAATCAAGCATTCCATTTGCAATACCTTATCTCATAGATTTATACCTTTTAACTTAATCATTATCGACTTGTCTCAGTCAATGTTGATGATGATTATTTTAGACACACTTTGATAAAGAAACAATTTTGCAATTATAATAAATCTTTATTGACTAAAAAGGAAACAAATTATGAACATCTTTTGATAAAATCAGCGAAATTGACTTAAAATTAGTAGTTAATCAAACAATATGAGTTTTTTTCTTACATGGCCTCTTTACCAAAACTTCTGATTTTAAATCGATCAAGAAAAATTCGACTTTTTTTGTAATTTGAATTACAATCAAAAGTCGTAATTAATATTAATAAGATACCTATACCGATAATTGATTTTAATACTTTTAAATTTGTTTCTCACAAAATGCTTCCTCGAGGAACTAAATGTTGGCAAAAAAAATTATAAATGTCTTTGAAGTTTGTTCAAGATAATCCATTCAAAGGGAAACCACATAGAATCGTTGACCTTGAACCAAACGAAGGTCCTAAACATGGTGTTGGCGCAGGGCCAATTAACCCAATTTTAAGATTGCCTCCTCAGTGCAGGATGAATGGCCTAGGGCCAAAAAGAGGTATTGGAAAGTTCACAGGAGATACTTCAGAAATAAGAAACCCAATTCAACCCTCAAGAGTAGTATCAAAGGAACCTCCTCGAGTAGATTTTTCATCAAACTTACAACCTCATAAAGGTCCAAAGCGTGGATTTGGTTATGGACCTGGAACAACAGACAATCTTCCAGGTCCAAAGCGTGGTCATGGAGCTGGCCCAGGAATTGATCCTTTATCTCTTTTCGAAACAGGCAGCTCTCAGGATGAACAACTATGCGTAAGACTTACCAACGAATTCCGCCAAAAACAAGGCAAACCTCCGCTGAAATTTATGAAAAAATTATCAGAAATCGGAATGCCTCATACAAAGAACATGTTAGCTCGTAAAATACCTGTAGGACACATTGGATTCGACGAAAGAGCAAGGCAAATCGCTGGTTACGCTGCTGCCGAAAATGTGGCTTATTGCCAAGGATACAGCGATCCAATTCGAATTTTCGTTCAAGGATGGATCAATTCACCTGGCCACAGAAGAAATTTACTTGGTGATTACACACATATGGGGATTGCCGTAGCACATGATGGAGATGCATGGTATGGAACTCAACTATTTGCAAGATATTAACTATGTATGCTAAAGTCAATTAAAATTGTTTGAAAATAAAAATTTAATATTTATCATAGAATTTAACTTGAAAATAACTATATTAATGCTTTCATAGAAAGTAAAATTTACTTATGAAAGTTTTATATTTGAGTTTTTTGTACAATTATATATAATTATTATTTTTTTGTTGTGCTGTTTTGTGTGATAATGGAGGTTTGAAAATAAAGGTGAGATTGACGTCAAGATTTAGGGAATTTAATACTTCATCCCCAAATTTGATCTTTTTTATCATAAGTATATACTAAAGATTGAACATTTAGAGATACCATTTTAGTATCATAAATACATTCTATATATGTGTTATTGATAAAAAGAAATAAAAATAGTTTACTGGATCTTAAGGATTTCAAATCGTTTTGTATTAAGAAGCTCTTTTGCTTTTTGATTTGATTTTGCAATTTCATCTGCTTTTGATCTGATTTCATTTATTAAATATATCAGCTCGTTTGGATCTTCTGATTCACATTTTTCTTCATCATATGGAGAGTAGGGTTTCTCATCTGATTGTTTGAGCAAATCGTTGAATTTAATAATTACTCCAGAAGCTTCATCTTGCAATTTATCAATATCATATTGAGGAGTACTTTCTTTTGTTTGGTCGACAAGTTTTGTGAATTTATCAGCTTTATCATCAATTTTTATGTTGATACTGATTTGTTGAAAATCAAGAGCAACTGCCATTTTTTTATTGAATTTCACTGGTTTTGCAAAACTTTGATTCAGATCTTTGTCGTATATGTTCATATGCTGGCCTAATTTGAATTTCCTTCTCCTTTTGATTTCTTCACCTAAGAATTGTTGGACAAAATAAATACATGATTCCAACTTGAAATCTTTTGTAGAATTAACAGAAATTTCTTTGATATCTTTATACTTTTCTTGGATTTTATTTCGAATATCATCAGCAAAAAACTTCAAATTAGAAGCCAATCCGATAAAAACAAATTTTGTTGGTTTAAGATCAAAACGTAAGCTGTTAACAGCTTCCGTTATAAAGATTGGTACCTTATAAGGAGCCTTGTCTGTAATATCTGTTTGCTTAATTGTTGTTTGGACATCAATGTGAGTAATTGCAACTGGATTGAAAGGAACCGTAGTATTTGGGATTAAATTTTCTTTTGTTTTATTCGCTCCCTCCCAAAATGCTCTTTTGAGCCTTTCATCCTTAAGAATTTCATTTTTATAATCTTTGATTTTGTCATCATTTAAAAGATGATTGGCAACAATGTTTGTAACGTCGTTTCCGCCGAAATTTAAAATGTAAAAATCATGCAAATAAACTGTATTTTTATCTTTGAAATCCATGATGAAGAACTCGGTATTTGATGCACCAAAATCAACAATTAAAACTTTATCTTCTGGTTTGATGTCCATTTTTTGGTAACCCAAAAATGCTCTCATTGGATATGGAAAAGTTCCGAGTAAAACATCCTCTTGTGGATAATCGAGTTTGAAACAGGCAGCTGCTTTGATATTCTTCCTGAATTCGTCCGATGCCCAGTAAGGGAAAAAGATAAAAATTTTATTGATCGACTCTTTTGAAGTAATGTTGAGAGCCTTCTCATAAACGTAATTCAAAAATTTGCAAAATAACTGAAAACTATTGAATTCGGTGCCATTACAATTGTATTTAACGTCATTAATCAAATTTAAAAAGAAGTTCCTGTATGTTTCCTTTTCGTGGGCAAGCGATACATTACTAGCAAAATTTGAATAATAAAATCTGTTGTCATGGTTAGAGATGATAGTTTTGAAATCTGAATACGGTCCATCTGTTACATTCTTTGCAGAATCTTTGGTGACAAATGATGCAGTCGTATACTCATTTCCTAAAACAATAACTAAGACGCCGGTGTCGCTCTTAGACATTTAACGGAAATGTAAATTTTATATTTTCCGTTAAGAAAAGTCGTAGCAATATTATACTTCTGATAACCATTTCAGCATTTAGACTTCAAATCAAATATTATTTTGATATTTTAAAAGCTCTAAACTGATTCAGTAATCATTTTATATTATGATAGTGTGACTTTACCACTCTAACATTTTCATTTAGATTGCATTACATATGATATGAGAAAAACTCAATCCATTTGCCACAACTATAAATTTTATTTTTCGGCAAAAATTATTCAACATTTAATTGGGATTTCTAATAATAAAGAAAGACAATTCAGGTTTTGGGAACAAAATAATAACTATATTCACTTTCATTCACTCTCAATTTTGAAAGATCATTCGCCTCTCTTTTGCCATTCGAAGAGTTTATGAGACAATAATTGTGAGCAATATGGACACACATTGACTGATGCGTATAGAAAATATATTTTCATTGAGTGAAAGTAATAGTTTATCCTTGGAAATATAAAATTATAGACCCCACAAAATTTATTCAAAAAAGCAGTCGGAGGACGAATTCCACGGCAAATTACAGCGGTTCCAGTTGGGATGAAGCACTTCTGGACAGTCATAATTCAAAAATATTTATCTATAAAATAAATTCTATATTTTATATATAAAAAAATAAATAATCAAATAAATAAAATAAATATAAGTTATATATTTTTCATTTTTTGTTATACCCGAAAATCTTTGCATTGAGGGCCTTTGCTTCTTTGTGTTTACCAGCATCATTCAGCTTATGCTTTTGCTTGATGAGTCTTTCTCTTTCAATTGTTCTAGCGTCCTTAAGTTCTGACTTAACTTTTCTTTGGGATCTTGGAACTCTCAATGAACCTTTGATGACTCTTTCTTCTTCTCCAGGTGCTTGGATTGATGCCTTAGACATTGAAACCCATTCCTGGTATTTCTCACCCTTTACAGATTTGCCAGTAAGCATTGAAGTAGCCGCTTTAATGAGAGTTGCGTTTTTAGACTCCATTGCTCTCTGCAATCTCTGTTGTGTTGATGATTGTATGTTCTTCTTGTACATCTGTCTCTGCTGTTTCATCTTCATGAAGCCTTCTCTATCATCAGGAGCCATATCCATAACAGCATCAATTAATGATGATGCCGTTCCGTCTCTAATTGAGTTTGCATCATCATCAGGTGGTCTGTAGCCTAAAAAGAACTTGGATTGGACTGGTTTGTATTCTTTCTTAGGTTTCTTCGATACATGCTCTTTCCTCTTCTTGACTTCTGGCTTGGAATCATTAGTCTTGTCTTCAATGACTCTTTCTTCTGTCACTTTTTCAGCATCATTTTGAATTTCTTTATCTGATTCATCATCATCAAGAGGTGGTTCATCAGTTTCTTTTGTGTTGAAGCGAGACTTGATGAAATTATTTGTTGTTGACCTGAATGCCTGCATGACTTCCGCTTGTTTACTGTTCTGTGGCGCTTGTTCGAAAATTGTTTCTCTTGGCCTCCAAGCTCTGATTTTTTCTTCAATGGAATCAGCGCCGCCTTCAATGATGATCTCTTTGGCCATTGTAAGCCATTGTGGTTTTGCGTTCTTCCTTGATTTAACGTATTTCTTCTCGCCATTGTCCATTGACTGCCTGAGAACAGTTAAATCGTAGTTCCTCTTCATAGCGTCTTCATAAATTGTCAGTTGGTCGTTGATTTCACTCTGCATCACTCTTCTCAATGTCCATGGCTCTTCCTCTTGCAAGGCTTCGCGCGCTCCTACGTAATAAGGAAGTTCATCGTGAGTTACAAATGAAACAACTTCGCCTTTGAGACCTGCACGGCCTGAACGACCGGCTCTGTGAAGGAAAACCTTCGGACGCTCTGGGAAATCGTAGTTTACAACGGCTTCGAGGCCTTCAATGTCAAGACCACGTGCTGCAACGTCTGTGACAACTAAACAACGTAATGATCCTCTTGAAAAGGCGGCAAGACTGGATGAGCGCTCGTCTTGGTCCATGTTTCCGTAAATGGCTGCGCTTTTGAGGTTGGAGTCCCTTAAGAAAGCGCTTAAAAACTCAGCATGATATCTTGTGGCAACGAAAACAAGAGATCTGCGGTATTCTGTAACAGTTTGGAGAAGTAAAGCTGGTTTGTAATATGGATTAACGAAAAGGAAGTTAACTGTAAGTGTTTTTGGAAGTTTTGATTGATCAATTCTGATAACTGTTGCACGGCTGAGGTTAATACGTGTGAATTCAGCAAGAACGGATGGAACCGTAGCTGAGAATAACAATGATTGATGCTTTTCTGGGAGCAATTTGAGGATGGCCGTCATTTGTGGTTCAAGACCTTGCTCAAAGAGGAGATCTGCCTCGTCAATGACGATGATTTGTACACGAGAAAGGGAATATTGTGTTTCTGCAATGATTTGAAGTAATCTACCTGGTGTTGCGATGATAACATCAGGATTCTTTGTCAAACTTTCGAATTGAGGTGGGAGAGCTTCACCACCAATGATTTGTGCGCATTTTAAGTTTGTTTGAGACGCGTATTTCTGGAAATAGTGCCCGGTCTGAAGTGCCAATTCTCTGGATGGTGTGATAATGAGACAACGACAACCTGTAATAGTTGAGTGTTCATTAAGCTTTTGAACAATTGGTAATAAGAAAGAAGCTGTCTTACCAGAACCTGTTTTTGACATCGCAACGACGTCATGGTCTGCAAGAACAACTGGAATAACTTCTTTCTGAATAGGTGTTGGCTTTCTATACATGGTTGTTGCGACCTTAAGGGCAGGTCCTTCAAGGAGGGCTTCAAAAGTTGACATTTATTATTAGAGCTAAAAAAATTTTTTTGTGCTCCTTGCTAAAATTTTTGTCTTTACAAATTTTTGACATTTTCAAATTTACATTGACAAAACCAGGATTCATTTTAAACCACCCAATTTATAATGAAGTTAAGTTATCTTTCACACGTTTGATCAATGTGACAGTTATGCTTGCATATATGCTAGGAATTATAGGAATTTATTTTTATTCCTTGGTGTTTTTTCCACAGGGAGTATATCTCCTGGGCAAACGACAACAAATATGATAGTTTTCGGCATCTCAATCATTTTAAATTATGATTTGCAAGTGAAAAAAAAATTTTTTTTAGAGCTGTTGGATCTCATGTGCTTGAAAGATAGATGCTTCTTTTGTAGACATTTAAACAAGTAAAGATTTAGTTTTTTATTTTGAAATTTGGATGGTATTATCGAATATGATTTAGAGCGAAAAATAAGTATTTATTCAATTTATGCTCACAGATACCCAGCATATTTAGAGAAATTTACTGAGAGCGTTCCTTGATGGCGGCCTTCTCTGCAAGAACGATCTGAACGTTTGTTGGTGGAGAAGCGTATGATTTTACGCGGCCGTGAGCCTGGTGGATACGGCGCCAGCGGTATTGTGTAGCACGGTTGCATTGAACGTGGGCAACAAGGACCTCGTCAACATTAACGCCTGGCTTCTGTGGAGCACCAGCAAGAGCTGTCTTGATGAGCTTGATGTAGAGCTCAGCGCACTTGACTGGCCAGCGGGATGTTGGGCAGCCCCATTCGTGGCCCTGGGCGTGGTGTGAGATACCACCTTTGTAGCGGAAGAATGGAACAGCACGCTCCTTTCTCATGACGGCTTCAAGATAAGCGATCGCATCTTGAGCCTTCATGCCCTTGATAACACGGCCTGTTTCCATCATTGGCTTGAAGTGGACGCGCTCTAAGCCTGTTGATGCCTTAAGAGCCTTAGACTCTTCAACATTGGAGAAGGTGTAGTGTGTGCTCATAAGATTTCAATAAAAAAGGCAGGCCATGACCGTTCGGACGATAGGATTTTCATGTCACATGACTGTGACCTCGAGCATACTTTTAGATTTGCAACAAAATTACAAAATAATAAGTAAAATAAAATCGATTTTCAATGAGACATACATACTAAACTTTTACATTTGATTTACGATTTCTTGATATCTGTGAATTAGAGGTCATCTCTCTGTCTTTAATATATGAGTCTCATACAATTACTAACTACTATAAGAATGGACTGATTGCGCTATAAATTGTTTTTACGAGTTCATAAATTGCTATGAGTTAGGTAAATGAGCTATACACATCTTCATAAAATAATATAACATGGCAAAGGATAGAATCGTGGTGCTAATTTCATTATGTCAAAAACAAATCAATTTTTATAACAGCTCTAATTGGTTGATTCTATTCGCGAATTCAATATTCTATGCGCATCATGCAATATAATAGAATGCTAGCATATGAGAGGAGAAAATTATAATTGTTCAATTTCCAAATTTATTATCAAACGAATTTTTGCATTATCCAAATGGATTTTGGATTTTTATCAGGGGCTTTATCATAATGTTAAGATATTTTAAATTTCTTCTGAAATCATAAAAATGGGGATCAAAGAATAAAATGTACCAAAATGTTAGTTAAGCATTTTAAAATAATCTGGAATCGAAAATCAAATTGAAATAAATAAACATTTCAATTTATCAAATAATTTAATCAATGCTCCTATATTTGTAATTAACATATCAAAAAAATTTTATCTTTTGAAATTCAATTTTGTAAGAATTTTTCATTAGCGTCAAAAAATTATTTCACGAATATATATTAATACAATACGATTCCAATAAAATTTATTTTGAATTATTTAATTCAATTTCAATATCTTTTGAATAGTTTTAACACTATAAATCATTCACAAAACAAGGATAAAAATTTATCTATAAGCTTTTCAAAATGCGATTCAAATTTGAATAATTATTCAAAAAATAATCATAATTAAAATGACACCAATTGATGAAACAAATGGAAATATAGCAAGAAAAATCATATCATATCTTGAAAATGGGAAGATCCAAAAGAAACTCCTTAAATTCTTAACTATTGACTACTGCCTTTGGCTGAATGAACAAGTTCGATTAATCCTAAAAGAAGAACCTAATGTTGTTTATCTTGAAGGAAAATTTGTGATTGTTGGGGATTTACATGGCAATTTCAATGATTTAGATAGAATATTGTCCAATACATGGAAAAAAGAAAATATTAAATTCGTTTTTCTTGGTGATTATGTTGACAGAGGTCATTATTCATATGAAGTAATTTCACTCTTGTTTACAATGAAACTTCTCTTCCCAAATAGAGTTCTTCTTCTCAGAGGAAATCATGAGAACCAAGATGTTACCGAGATATATGGATTTAAAGATGAATGCCTTTCAAAATCTAGCAAAGCAGTTTATAGATCATTTCTCGAGTCATTTAGAACACTTCCTCTCTGCGCAATTCTTAATTATCGAGTCTTTTGCGTGCATGGAGGTATTAGTCAATACATCAAAACTATTACCCAAATTAATGAAATCAATAGATTCTGTGAAATCCCCGACTCCGGGCCGATGATGGATTTATTATGGGCCGACCCTGATGAAGAAGTTGACGAATTTGAAGAATCAGACCGAGGAGATACATACAGATTTGGAATTTCTCCAACTCTGGAATTCTTGAAGATTAACCACTTATCATTAATTATTCGTGGTCATGAATGCGTAGAAGATGGGTTTGAGTATCCATTTGAAGTCCTTGATGATGACTATGGCAAATGCATCCTTACGATTTTTTCTGCTTCTGATTATGTGGATTACAGAAATGATGCAGCATATGGAGTTTATGATCGCAAAATCGAATTCCATTCGCTTCCTTTAATCAAGGAAATAAGTAATGAACACTTTGAATCAGATCATCTTCACATTCCACAGAATAATCCCATTCTTGTTTGAAAATCTCTTATTTTATACCATGCGCTATTATTTGACTAAATTATTATAATTATTATTGTTCACATTATGAATTACTCTGAATATATTCATATTTTTAACTTCTAATCGGAAACATGATCAAAATATCAAAGATACAATTAACACTTCTATTATGTATATCAAAGGTAATGGATACAAATCGATTCTTGATTATTCGATAAAATTTATAAAAAAATTATAGAAAGCATTTCTCAATAAACGATTAAATAAACATAACAAACATTTAAATAACTTTTTACACTAAAAAATAAAATCAAGCAACATCAATTTGGTCTTCATCTTCAATATCTTGATTGGAACTAATCTTTTGTCTTAAATTCAATTCCTCACCATCAAACAAAAGCTTAGTACCCGTTCCAATAGATTTAAGGACGTATCCCCATGTTTTATCAAGGGGAACTTTTAATTTCTTCTTCGTTCCATCTGGTAATAGGAAGGAAAGCTTTCTATCGTTCGAATTCTGAGGTTCATGCTGCTCAGGAGCAGGCTCCGATAGTGTAATTTCCTCTCCATTTGAAACGATATCAAAAGTCACTTCGTTAATCTTCCATTGAATACCACTAAAAGTAACAATACTATTTCTAAGCTCTGGCGATATTTTATACAAGATTTGTTCAAAAGTATCTTTTTGATCCCAAATAACTTTCCATCTATTTCCACTTTCAATACTACTAATATGTACTAATTTTCTAGTAGGATCTGCTGGATCAATAACAACATCATCAGAAGTAGAATCAGAAACTGTATTAACAGCAGGAGTATCAGGTTCTTCGTCATCGTTTGCTAAATCCATGATATGCGCTATCATTTGAGTTGTAGTATCAATTGCATTATTTAATTTAGCTTTGTTTGGATCAACAAAATCTTCTTCTACGATTGCTTTTGGAGGATAGTTGTTTGCATATTGATAATCAACAGCTGCATGAGATGCGTGCTGTTCTCTTGAGAATTTTTTGCCATTTCTCGTTACAATATAATCGTTATCAGAAGCATTATTTGAACTTTCATCATCTAGTTCAATAATTTGATCAACTTCTGTAGGATCAGTATCTATGCTTTTTTCAATATCAGTTATTAATGGCGACTTTTCAATAGGTTCTGATTTATTCCTCGTTATCATGTAAGCAGGTTTTTTCGGTTTCTCATCTTCATCAGAGGATACGTTCACAACATCGTCATCATCGCTATTCATCCAAAAATCTATTTCATCTTTATTTTGATTATGATTATCTTCTTCTTCAGACATAGCAAAAAAATTTGACGAAATATTGTTTTTTGTAAAGTTAAATATGTCAAAAATTATTCACCCACTTCATCATATATTGCTTCACCCAAACGAGAGACGGTAAAAGCTTTATTTGTATGAGTTATATTAAGGCGCATATTATTGGACCTCAACTGCATAAGATGTATAAAAGTTTGATTATATTAATGTTGTTTTATATTTGAAAGTAGTATCATTTATCAATTTTCCATGAATATATTTAATGGGCCAAATTTTATCCAATGAATTTCATGTAATATGATTCTTATAAAAATATTTAAGATATTCACAGAAAATAAAGACATTTTTATTTGATAATATTACTAATTAATCCGAAATGACATAAAATATATGAATTCTGAACAAATATAATTAAAAATAATTAGTGCATCGACAATCTCAAGACTTTTTCTATCTTTTCCTGAAGGGACTGGAATTTCTGGCACTCCCATTCAAGGAAAGCATAGTCCAACTGTATCTTATTGCACTGTTCGATGCAAGTTTGGTCGACTTTTGACTCTTTTTCCCAGTTTGGATCGACCACGATATCAATTGAAGTCTGTCTGACCTCAAGAAGAGCATCGCGGAAGTCGTTGAGGGATGAAAGGGCTTGATCAATCACTTGAACGAAGGAAGCTCCGAAATTAGAGAATCCTCTGTATACCTCTGTAACGTTCATGTTGAAGATAGAGAGAATCTGGTTAAGATATTGCAAATGGGAACGATTCAACTTCTTATTTTCAAGATCAGCTCTTTTTTGAGCGGGAAGACATTCATTTCTACGCCTAGGAAGTTGCGCTGTCATTGATTCTATCTGTTGGAATGCATCTGGCTTGAATAAATCAATGTTATCGGAAATTATTGATTTTATTTTTTCAAATATCTTAATAAACTGGGCTTCATCTTGATCAAACGTTTGCTCCATGCTCATACGCTCTCCTAAGCATAATGTATCGAATTGTTGTGAAAGAAGTTGAACTCTTCTCTGATATAAAATTTTTCCGAAGAAATCAACTTTCTTTAGGAATTTCGTAAAAGCGACGAACATTTGGTTTTGAGTATTGATTGTAGGAGATACGAAATTCATATGGAAATCGATATCTTGGGCTTCAGAAATGAATTTACTAATTGCTGTTTGTTGTACTTGCAATTCACCGATCAACATCTTTTGCATTTTGTCTAATTCGCTAAATGGATTTGGTTCTGGGATGATTGGAAGACTTGGATCTATCCATTGCTGGAAAATTGCTCTAACTGGCTCAGTAAGAGAGTCAAGCGTGTATTTATGTATATCTGCACCTGTTGCAACTAATAATCTGACAATATCTATGTGATTTTTAGCAATTGCAATATCTAACGCATTTTCTGTTTCATTTCCTTGATAATTAGGGTCAGCACCATACTGGATGAGTGCGTATGCAATACGAGTAAATCCATATCTTGAAGCTATTATTAAAGGCACAGAAGCGTGATCAAATGAAATTGTTGGGGAATGGGCTTCAAGAAGAAGACTTACAATGCCGTAATTACCTTTTGAAACAGCTATAGATAATGGTAGATTAGGTGAATAATCCGAATCTATTATGCTTGGATCAGCTCCATGATCAAGCAATGATCTTACATAGTAAAACTTGTTTGCCTTGGTAGCTGCATGCAATGGCGTATCTCCATTATCGTCTTTTTCGTTTATATCTATTTTAGAATCGATTAATGCATCAAATGAAGATTTATTATCATTTTGAATTGCAAATTGAAACAATCCCTTCGTTTCACATCCATTTTCGATCAGTAATTTTAATGAATCAACGTTTTTATTCAAAATACAAATCTTTGATATTGGTAATTCTTCATATTTTGAACTTTCATCTCGACTATTGGCGATAGGAATACGTCTGTTTATGTCTTCGGTCGTCTTCAAAAAATCAATAATAGCGTTGTATGACGTATCAATAACCATTTTTTTTGAAATTTTTTTTACAAAATTTTTTCAAACGGTCACGTTTAGGAATGAAAAATATCTAAAAATGAACAAAAATATCCAATAACAATTAACAATCAAATTATGCCCATTAATTACATACTTTAGCACTTTAATTTACTTGATATGATGATGCGTAGAGATTGGGAGTTTATTCTTCAATTGTATTTTCAGTAAAATCAAACACATGAGGAACATGTTGGAAGTCAACAATTGTGAAATACTTTACTCAGTTGTTTCACAGAATTGTTGAAATGAATTGTTAAAATTAGAGATCATTTCGCAATCGTCGTCATTATCATTAGTATCTAAACTGTTTTCCAATTTTTCAATGATGCTGCTCAACATACTTTTCCAAATGCATATCAACTATAAATCATAATGCATTCAGTCTGTTGAGACCTTAAATTAGTATCCAGTTTTAAAGAAACAGATTCTGATTAGCTTAGTTTTTAATTGATTTAAACTGTTGTCCCAAAGGTGTATAATCCAAATATCAAAATATTCTTTATTATTTTTATCTGCAGTATTTCAAACATCATCTTTTTCATTGATATTTGCTCCATTTATAATAAGAAGAACAGCTATATCATCATTATCATATTTGACTGCAATATCAAGAGCGGTTGAGCCATTTCTAGCTTTTTCATCGATATTTATACCATGTAAAATAAGAAGTTCAGCTGTGTTTTCAGTATTATAAAATGCTGCATAATGAAGAGCAGTTCTTCCATGATTGTCTTTTTCATTGATATTTATACCATTTGAAATAAGAAGTAGGGCAATTTCTTTACTCTTATATTTTGCTGCTTTATGAAGAGCAGTATTTCCATAATTATTTTTTTCATTGATATTTATACCATGTGAAATTAGAAGTTCAGCTGTTTCTTTACTATTATGTTGTGCTGCATTATGAAGAGCAGTATTTCCATAATTATCTTTTTCATTGATATTTATACTATGTGAAATTAGAAGTACAGTTGTTTCTTTACTATTACAATTTGCTGTAATATGAAGAGCGGCCAATCCATAATTATTTTTTTCATTGATATTTATACCATGTGAAATAAGAAATTCTGCCATTTCTTTGCAATTATGTTTTGCTGCTTTATGAAGAGCAGTATTTCCATAATTATTTTTTTCATTGATATTTGAACCATGTGAAATAAGAAGTATGGCGGTTTCTTTACTATTATGTTGTGCTGCATTATGAAGAGCAGTATTTCCATAATTATCTTTTTCATTGATATTTATACTATGTGAAATTAGAAGTTCTGCTATTTCTTTTATATCATTATCTGCTGCATGATGAAGAGCAGTTCTTCCAAGATCGTCTTTTTTATTGATATTTGCACCATGTGAAATAAGAAATTCAACCATTTCTTTACTTTTAAAAATTAATGCATATTGAAGAACAGTCGTTCCATTCTCATCTTTGTCATCGATATTTGCACCATTTGAAATAAGAAGTTCAGCTGTTTCTTTACTAACATATCTTGCTGCATAATGAAGAGCAGTTAGTCCAAGTCTATCTTTTTCATTGATATTTGCACCATGTGAAATTAGAAGTTCAGCCGTTTCTTTATTATTATGTTTTACTGCATAATGAAGAGCAGTTAGTCCAAGAAAATATTTTTCATTGATATTTGCACCATGTGAAATAAGAAATTCGGCCAATTCTTTGCCATTATATTTTGCTGCATAATGAAGAGCTGTATTTCCATATTTATCTTTTGCATTGATATAAGCACCAAGAGAAAGGAAAGATTTGCAAACGGATGGATTATTAAATAACGATGAATAAACAAAACATGTGTCAACATCAATAGTTTGATCAAAATAAACTAAAATTGATTCAATATTATTATATTTTCCACAATAATATAAATCTATCTTCAAATTGTGTTCATTCATCAAGAATGTAACAAAATCAATGTTGTGTGAAATAATTGCATATTCCATACATTTTTCATTTGGTTTTTGATGTTTCAAACATTCACTCATGATCTCTGGATTTCCTCCTAAAAATGAAAAATGTAAACATTTTTGAGTTATTTCTGAGTTAAATTTCGTTCTTAATAACTTGAAACAATCAACTGCTCCATGGTAACAACATAATTCAAGTAATGAATACCCTTCGTAAGAATATGGATATAAACTGCTTTTAAGTTTTTGATTTTGGTCAAATTCTTCTCTTTCAGCTAATATGATGAATTTTTCTTTGTCATTATACATAATTGCCCTGTAAATTGTATCTTCTGAGTGAATATCGAGATTTTCTGTTTTAAAATTTTCAAAATCAGCAGATTTGTATAATTTAATTCCATATTCTTTATAAAACAGGAAGTTTGAAATTAGTTGAACATTGCTGACCTCTGTGACATGGTAATCATCAGATATGAGTTTGGCAAGAAATAAATATGACTTTGTATAGCGATTATTATATGGAATGATATCTAAAATGTCTTTAATAGCATTTGTGGGAAGATATTTCTTTGAATCAATCAATTCTGTTTTGATAATTTTGTAAATTGACTTTAATTCTTCTTCTTTTTCCGTTTTCAGCTGATACAATGCATTACATGAATCGATGATGCATTTAAACATACATCGCAGTTCACTGTAATTGTTTGGATAGCTGTCTTGATTGGACATAAAAAATGTTGCTCCTTTTTTGCACTTTTTCTATAAATTATCACATCCATGAACTTTTTGAATGCAATTCAACAGTGCAAGAATAATGTCATTCTATAGCATTATGGATATTTTTGAGATATACACTTAAAAAAATTTCAATGTATTCTCAAAAATATTATTATTGCATGAGAATTATTTATTGGAGAAAAATAATAATAATAATAAAAAATAACATATATAAAAATTGAGTTACTAATTGAAAAAGTGCAAAGGAAGTAAAAATTACCACCAAAATAATTTTTTTTAACATACAAAAATCGTTCTTAAAACTACCGTTCGTAACACTCTCAATTTTGTATGGTTACGAGCAGGAGCACATGTGGATTTTGCCTCCAACGTTGACCAAATTTGCACATCCTTTCCTGCAAATTTCCATTAATAATATCATTTAATTTTAAAAATATATGAGATATCATTGAAATCCCAGGACCAAAGTTGAGATATGAGATTTCAGTAACTTCGACTAAATAACCAAACGTCTACAACCGAGTTAGAAATTTTTAACGTATCAAAAGTAGATGAAAAGTTTTAACTAAATAAATTTTTTCATTATGTCCAGAACAATATATAATCAATATCAACTATTCTCTAAATATATATGAGCTCAATAAATGTCCTTAGTGAACATTTTGTGGTGAAACAACACTTCGAGGGACATAATGGAAAATAATTTAGGAAATTGATGAGTTAATAGAATATAAGTTAGCAAAAACGATAGCAGTTAAATAATTCTATATATTTAGTTTAAATGAAGTTAACAAAAAAATAAAATTAATTTCTATTGGAAACTTGAGTTCTCAAATCTTTGAGCTGATTCAACACATTCTGAAGGGAGTGATATTCCTTCACCTGATCATCCTTCAAAGGCGGATCGTCGAGGGATTGCTGATATTCCAGTAATTTCGCTCTCATTACTTCAAGCGATGGTCCTGGATAAGACTTCAGAGCCTTTCTACGCCTTGCGACACCATCCTGTCTCTCTTGGAGCTTCACTTTTTGAGCTTTGATCACTTCCATTCTGGAGTTTACGTCATCTGGCGCTGTAAGCTGTATTTTTGTGTATTTGTTATCGTTCCTCTCGTAAATTGCGTGTCCTTTTTTATATAAACGTGAATTTGAATTAATTTTCATTGTCTTTCTGAGATTCAGCTTAACTTCATCGCGACGTGATGCAGGGAGAATCTGTGGGTAGTCATAAATGAAAGTTTCGCCATTTTCGAGAGACACATATAACAATTTATCCAAAATAACAACAGAACTAATGGTTGAATCAAAATGGCAGTCCACGGGTATAGTTTCCGATGGCATTCCGAAGTCATTAGTCACGTATTCGCCATTATCTTCCTTAAATCTGTTTGAAATTATTTCAACGTCTTCTGCTGGTATTTGTTTCATTAATGCATTGTAGTCATCGCTTGTAAGTCTAAAAGATGGCGGGAAGTATGGGCTGATGATTTGAAGCTCTTGATAAGAAGTTCCAACAATTACGGAAAACATCGACCAAGAGTTATGGTCTGAGCATGTAGAAAAGCATAATGGAGAGTTAATGCTCATATATGTACTTGTATTTCCTTTAAGATCAATATAATAAATCGAACCTTTGCTTTCTAGAACGATGAGACTGTTTTTTCCAAGTACCGACCACTGAATATCAATGGTAGATTGTATATCATCTATATAGTCTGTGAAATTAATTAAATCTTTGTTATTTATATCGAAAATAAAAACTGAACAGTCCGAAAATATTAATATTTTCGTTCCATCGTCTGAGAGCGCGAATCTTTTGAGTACTGCTGGATTTGGAACTTGAACATCTGAGAATTGAATATCATTATGAAACAAAAATCCGGTTGATGATATTTTCCATACAGAGCCATCAGGACCAATATCGCAGGCAGAAATATTGAGTTCTGATCCTGGTTGTTGCATCCTAATTACTGCAGGGGCATTATCATTCATTGTAAAGTAAACAAACTCATTCAATTACAATTTTTTTGAATTCATTCAAATTCCTCAAATGGAATATCGAGATGAATAGATGCTCGTAATATTCTGAACAAAATATTTAAATATCATAAAATAAATTTTTAAAAAGAAAGTTTTCAAATTCTGAGACCTTGAGAGTTATTTTTTTCTATCTTATTCAACTTTTAAATTTTGTTACAGAACTAGAATTTACCAATGTGGCAGCATCCACAATGGTTTTCATTGCTTACTAGCGAAAAACGATTGGGTTAAATTTTTATTTTTCGTAGAATCCCGACTTCTGATCATCGTAACTATGTAGACAGAAACTTGGAGATTTAAAAATGTGACGTCAAAGGTAAGTAATATCATAGATTAAAGTATAAATTATAACGTATATTAATTTAGTAAGAACAACTAATAATTTATTAAATTTAAACATTTCAGTCCTTGTTTTGTTGGGCATCACCTCCATCCTTTTGTAATTTTTGGATTTCAGCCATCAATCTATCTCTTTCTATTCTTAACAAGGAGCGCTCTTTATTGACTTGCTCAAACTTTTGCTGTAATTCAGCAAGAGCTGGATCTAACCGCTTTCTTGTCTTTTTCATCTTTCGTAAGTCTTCTGTAAGATCTTTCTTTTCTTTCTCAAGAGCTTCGAGACCATCACGGTGGTAATTTCGCTCTTGTTTAAGTCTGTCCCAAGTCTGTTGAACTTCATCTCTAACTGTTTGCCATTTCTTTCTTTCTTGTTCCATTTGTTCTGTTTTCTGTTTAATATCAGCAATTTCTTCAGTAAGATCACAAAATAGATTAGGTCTTTCTGTAGAGTACCATTCGTGTTGAAATGTTGCTAAAGTTTCAGTCATATTCATTTTCTTAAGGAAATTTCTAACAAAATCATCTACAACTTCATTATATTTAACTACAACAGGTTGATTATCTTGAGGAACTTGCGGCATTGGTTGGTTATTTTCTTCATCCTCAGATTTTTCATTTTCTTCGGGTAAATCTTCAACCTGGACATTAACATATTCGCCATCACTGCTGTCGTCGACTTCTAACTCAACTTCTTCAAGGATATATGATCCTCCGTCAACAGCGTGATCCATTTAACGTGCAAATAACCGTTTTTATTTTTTCAGCAAGAAAAAAAACTTGATTCGTTAGAATAAAAGTTCTTGGCTATTAGAATTGTAAAAAGACATAGGAATAACTAAATGATTTATGATAGAATATTTGCATTTTGAGTAAATTTGATGGAATGAAATATCCAATTAAAGTTTAAAGTCTATCTAACTTTAAAAAAAGTAATTCTTAAGTAGTTAAATTATAATAAAATTAATAATTTTAATTAATTCTTCAACAGTAATATTTGGTATTTTAAAATTTCACAACCGAATTATCAAAAGAAGACAAATCTAAACATTTCAAATAAGTTTGAAGTATCTTGCAATCTCACGGCGGCAGTCTTGGCTCAAATCTTTGAGATCAATTTCAGAATCATCGGTAATATCTGGATGATGCTTTGCAATGATTTCTGATACTTTCTCGACATCTTCATCAGTTCCATTTTGGTATTTGTCGAGAATTTGATCAGTAATTTCGTCTGTAATTTGAATTTGAGCTGGTTTTGGAGCTGGAGGTGGTGGTGGATTAGCAGGAGCAGCTGGCTTAGCAGGTTCTGGTGCTGGCGGCTGACTAGCAGTAGTTCCTGACCTATCAGCCCTCCTTTCCTTTTGGCGCTGCTCTGTCTGTGAGCGGCGCTCTGGTTCTGGAGCCTTTTCAACAGGAGCATGGTCTTGTTTGCTCTCTTTGATGGCTTGTGCTGATTTAGAAGATTCTCCATGGTGTTTGTGTCCTGCCTTTGGATATCCTTCCTTGGGATCGTTAATATACTTGTATATCTTATGAACTTTAACATCGATGATCTTAAATTCGGTCAGCCAATCTTGAACAGGATCATCTGTAAAGTGGGCGACCAATTTTTGACTGACAATCCTTAGATAGTTTGCACACATTGTAATCCAATTGGTTTCACCGTTGAATTTAACTGCGTTATCCCATATTAAAGCAATGTCTGATTTAAACTCTTCTATGCTATTATATCTGTTTTCTCTAAGCTTAATTTCAAGAACTTCAAGAGCCATTGGGCTTTTAATGATTTCGTAGTAGTTTGGATATAGATCTCTGTCTACTGACTTATCAAATATCTTGGATATTCTATATCTGCGAATCTGTTCGATTATGCGCTGGCAGCGTTGCTTCTGTGTTGGAGTTATGCCCATTGGTTGTTGTGATAAATGTTCTTGGAACTTAACTGCTGTCACTTTTTATGCTTCACTTGAAATTTTAACGCATGGAGCCATTCTTCTTACCAACAGCATATTATTAATCCAGAAAAGTAAAAAATAACATTATATTGCTCACATTCGTTTATAATTAATCTGAAACGAAAAATCTTCTAAGAGATGTAAGGTTATAGGCAATTTGGTATGTATATTAAAAATGTATCTCTATAAGGATTTATTTACTTTATTTACAAAACTTAATAAATGAGATGATTCAAATTCTAATTAAATTAGATTGTATGCAGGTAAAGACTTAATACATAAAAATACAATGTGAAAATATGTATCAATTTAATCTTTTAAAGTCAAAATTTTATTAAAAATAATATTTCTAAAACTAAAACCTTTATTTTACAAACAAAAATGAGATAGAATGAAAAAAATCATTCTACTAAGTTGAAATTTCTTCAGACATTGTATCAGCTGTTATTAGTGGCTCGAGATCATTCTTTTGTTCGACAGAAATATTCATAGATCTTGTTCGGATAATAAAAACAAGAACTATTATAATAATTATAGGAACTATAATATAACTTGGGTGGATTAATTCTTTCTCAATTCCTAATACCTGAATTGAAGCATTTATCTGACAATTTCCATAACCGATAAGGTAGAATCCAATAAATAATGGATTGTCAATGGAAAAATTCTTCAGTGAACTTCTTTTAACATTGATTTCAGTAGTTTGGTTTGTAACATGAAAATAATTCAATCTTTGGCCTCCATATTTGAAAGGCTTCTTAAATGATAGTTCAAGAGCTAATACCTGGTCTGATTCTTCTGATTTTTCAATATTTAGAATGATGGAATTGTTAAATTTCGGCAATTTAAGGGATAAATACTTCCAATTGCTAGCAGAAACATTTAACGATACATTTTGATTACTTCTAATTACAGTTGAATTGATTTGGCATAAAACTCCCGTAGATGGATATTTACATCTGTTTTGTGAAGGGAATTTAGTGAAAACTAAGAATTTTTCATCATTAAAATGATTAAATTCGCCACTGAAAATGATAGCTGCACGGACAGAATTAACAAATAACATATTATTTGAAAATATGTGAATTTTGTAGAATCCTTCTTCAGTTTCATTGGCTGGAATTGTTATTGATTCGACTGTTGAGTGTGTTTCTTCTTTTCCATTACCAAAATAAAACTTTTTTGAAGGAGATTCCAAAACTAGGTCCAAATCAGCAGCAAGAGGAATTTGGCTTTCCTCATCTAATGCAGGATCATTATAGACTAATGTGGCCTTAATATTTCTCTTCTTTGGTGAAATAATTTTTATTGATGAAATATAATGTGAATTTGCATCAATTGTTATATTATCAATGAATCTATATCCACCATGAGTTTCATTGATGAACAATAAATCATCTAATTTTGGAACTCCGAAGCCAATTGAGAAATCCGGAGTTTTTTCATGTTCAACGATTGGAATACAAGAATGGATCAAGAAACATTTAAGTAAACAGGCTGTTGGTTTTATTTTTATGCCCGTTTGACTTTTTGTTTTTAGATAATATCCTTCTTCCAAATATTGTCGAATTAAAGCTGCAGAACCAGCAATGAATGGTGCAGCCATGGATGTTCCTGTTCTAGCACCAACAATCTCTTTAGAATTGGCCTTTGCGGAGATGATATAGCTGGATGGAGCAACTAAATCAGGTTTCAAAATTCCAACATCATTTGGCCCTTTCGAGGAAAATTCTGAATAACTTATTTCACTTGTTTTTGGTTCATATATAATAGAACAATTGAAATTACCTTTCAGTTTTTCTTTTGTCAGAAAAATTGGAATTTTTGAAGAGGGACATTCAATTTTCTTGTCACTTTTTATGAAAATGGCCAAACTTTGATTTTCATTGAAATTTTTGATTTTTTGACAGGTTGTGTTATCATATTCCATGAAAAAGAATGTTTTTGGATTCATTTTGGTCGAAAAACTCTGGTTTCGGAAGAAACTCTGGTTATTAAATCTGAATTTTGAATAAAAATCAGGAGACCAATAAGTTTGAGTGACATTTACACGTTTTTTGTCATTCTTAAGAATGTAAATGTCTCTCATCATTAAGTTTTCTATGTTTCCTGATGAAGGATGGCTGCATCCGGCAACTGATACGACATTTTTGCTACCAGAAGGCTGATATATAGAGAATTTGTTGCCAGAGTTACCTCCAGCGAATACAAACAGTATTTCTGGATTCTTTTCTGCAATATAATCATAAGTTGAACGAATATCAGAAAAATCAATTGGAAATCCCCAAGAATATGAGAAAATATGGGAATTTAGCTCTTTCATTCTCTTTACAACATCATTTATATCATAATCTACATCTGCATCATCAAGAAATTGCTTTTTTCCGATATCAATAAAATATAATTTTGATTTCGGAGCAATTCCGTTGTACAAAGAGTAAGGAAGTGATTCCGCATCACCAGAGATGATTCCTGCAACATGTGTTCCATGTCCTCCGTTCCTATCTTTGTTATCTGCCAAAATTTCGTATCTTATTACTTTTCTATGATTAAAATTGGTTGTATTGAATGGAGGATCGTTATTTTCGTCTTTGAAATATGGAGACTCCATGTCTATGCCAGTATCAACAAGAGTAATGACTTGGTTTTGGCCAGTTAAATTATTTTTTTGTAATTTGCGATAATTCATCATGTAATCGTTGTAATAAATAGAGTTACTGTTTCCATCTTGTAAATAACCAGCTGACCATCTGTTCAACGGAGAAAAATTCTTTATTATTTCGATTTTTTGGATTTTGTCATTTTGTAGGAAATCTATAATAGAGGTATTGATTTCATCTAAATAAACAATAAAATGTGTGTCTGAAATCTTTTGGTATCGCAAATAATTTGGAATTTTGATTGAATTATGAGCTTTAATAAGTAATTTCATGGGCAAACTGTTAGGATTTAGTATATTATTTAGATTGATAAGGTTTGATTGGAACAATTTAATACCTTTTGTCTGTGAAAGTTTGGAAAATTGTGTTTGATTTAAATAAACATGAAACCAATGATCTGATAGTATCATACTACTATCATCAAATCCATTTACTTCTTTAATTTTGGATGTTGCTTCATTTTTAGAAGAATATAAATAAAACCAACCAGAATTCATGGCATTTGGCAGCTGATAAAGTGATGGATCGAATATAGTACCATTTTTGAATATAAAACTTTTTGAATTGAAACAACAAACTGTTTCGACAAAAAGAAGAAAAATTTCTAAAAAAATAATGAATAAATAACATAGGGCTGAATTTTAACGATGACATATAGAAGCCAAAATAATTATATTGATTACTTTTATTTCTCATTTTTTTATAATGTTACAAAAGATATGGAATTTCTTAGGTTATCCAACTGAGCCAGAACCTGTTGTAACCAGAAAAAAACTATCCCTAACACCTGTCTCGGAGTTCTGTGCACGTTTTATTGTAGTAAAGGACTTAAAAGACGGATATGATACAAACATCCCAAGTAACTTAGATTATCTCAAAAAAGAACTTACAAAGATCACAAATCAGTTAAATCAAAATGTCCAGCCAACTTTGCTTCCACAAATTGATTTTTCAATCACATTTAAATCAAAAGAAACACAAGATGAGAACATATTGATTTATTTTAAGAATAAAATCATACAAAAGCAATTTGAACATCAAAATTCGCTATATAAAGATGCAATTTCCGATATGAATCAGATGATTGAGTTTAGTTCAATGGCGTATAACGAAAAGTATCCAATATTCATCAATTTTAGCGAATTTACTAAGGAAATACAGAACAGAACATATAATAACTCTAAAATTAAAACATTTGAAAACAGAATTCGAATTTTGGATGCAAAAATCGAGTCTATTCATAAGAATTACAAATCTCCATCATTTACATCACAAAATTTACTCAAAGAATTGAAGAATTTTCGAAATAATTTCAATCCAAACTTCAAATTCTTCCCAGAATCAGAATTTGATATTTATTTTGCTAACTATATTGACTACAATTCATCGTTACTACAGAAATTTAACAATATTCTTGATGATTTTACGTCATACAATTATTCTCAAGGTTTAGACAAACTTACTAAATGTATTAATGATCTATGCAAAGAGATAGGTATACCTTTAGAGTCCGATGAATCTCTTATGATTACTTGTTGCGCAAATCGTTATTTCTTTGATAAAGTTGCAATTGAATTACCGTATTTGCTTTTCAATGATTTGCAAGCGAAAGACTTTATCAAGAGATGTGAATTTGCCAAAAAGAAGACTGTTGGCTCATTATTGGCCGATATGAAGAAAATTTTTGTTCCATCCCAAATTAATCGAACAATTCTTGATGTTTTTACAACAGATGACCTTCTCAAAGCATCAGTTGAATACCTTAGTCTCATCCAATTCAAGAATTCCCCTCTAGATATCGTAAATCAGTTGAATGAATCTTTAATTTTGATAAACAAGTTTGTTATCAAATCCTCCTATATAAATAAGAAATGCAAAGGCGATGAATCGGTAGAAATACCTGAAGACGTCTATCTAAACTTCGGAATGGTCGAAGCAGATGATTCTTTGACTGTTTTTTATATGTGTTTCCTTATTGACCCACCGCCGAACTCAGTGGCAATCGGAAACTTCCTGAAGACATTCGGGAGATTCGATCAATTCACTGCATTAGATATGGCATGCGTCCATATTTTGGCTGCAATTAAATTTATTTCAACAAGTGAGCTGATCAACCCCGAATAAGGATATGTTGTTTTGTTATTAATAAAAAATTGTATTTTATTATCAGAATTCGATAGAAACAATCAGATATGATTTTCACCTTTACTGATAAGTTTGTGAAGGCATTCAAAAATTATATGTCTTCTCAATTTTCAAAAGGCAAAATATATTTTTGAAAAATTTGAGAACTTTGATATAGAATCATGACATAATTTTATATGCATTATATTATTTATACATTGATAACTACAGTAATGCAAAATTATCAAAATTCATTATAAAATTATTTTATGTTTCTCCAAATACTACAAATATCCAATATACATCAATCTATTTATTAATTGTAATATATAAATACACGAATAAGGTTTATATAATTGTAAAAAGAATGCCAAATCTCATATTCTTTCTTTAATTATCGTAATATCTCAGTTCTATCCACTAAGTATAACAGTATGTGCATACTTTGGGATTTTTCTATTGAAAATCATCAAATATTTATCTAATTAACCATTTTTGTTGATTATTGCTCATAAAGATGTTAAATTAGAAGTATGCTAAATCCTAGTCGCATTGAATATGATTAAAAGTTGCATATGATTCCGTAGGAAAGATGTGTTATAATGCTCCATGATTCGACATAACTTTATAATTAATTTTTTTACACCTGAAACAAATAGTTTGTATATGTAATATTTAAATATTTAAACAAGTAATATGATATTATTGCATATTGAAATTCTAAAATTTTGAAATTCTATTAAATACATATTAAATAATTATCTAATTCATCAACCTATTGATAAATTTTCATTTCAAACTGATTTGGCGATTTATCAATTTTAATTTACTTATTTTATATATGCACAATGATGATAAATAGACCAGAAAAGCATAAAATTTTAAACAATAAAATTTTATTTAGACATATTTAAAATTACTATTGAAAGAATAGTAATTAATGTGCTCACAATAGCTATAATTGCTATTAAAGCAGCATGTAAGTTTCCAAAGTTGTCAAAATTATCTACAAATGGCAAGGATTTGTTTTGGAAAAAGAGGTTATGATCATTTAATCCCGTTACAAGTTCACTTACATACGGCCAGTCACTTTTCACATCAAAGATATTGTTATCTATTTTGTATGTTGGGTCATACTCTCCTTCTTTGTTGTATCTATCTGGATTGTTTACATCTGATACAATATTTCTGCAATCTTGGTATATGTCATCTTTATCGCAAAATATTCTAGAATTCTGAATATAATTCTTAATATCAACACCAAACTTTAAAGGATCAACAACAACTTTATAAATATTCCTATTTTGGAACGATTCATCAACAATTAATTTGACCGTTGATGGTATTTCAAAGTATTTATCAGTATTTTTGGTTACGAACATCAAACCTTTCGCGATGTTCATGAAGCAATCGTTTTCAACGTAAAACAGAGGATGCCCTTCAGAACTGAATTTGAAATCAATTTCAGAACCAACAAAACATGCAAGATCAATAAACATTAAAGAATTTGGAATAAACAGTTCAGTGATGGCTGTATTTGAGAACGTTTTGAAACCAATACTTTTGATATTTTCGTTGAATTCGAATGTTTTAAGTGAAAAGCAATTACAGAAAGCCATTTTATTTATGATTTCAAGATTATCTTGACAATGAAATTCTTTAATTCCTGAATCCATAAATGCTTCATCATCAATTATTTTGAGAGGTGTTGATAATTGCACATATAATTTATCCGCTGTTGACTTGAAACACTGCTTATAAATCGCTGAAACTCTTGTTAAATCTATATTTGTTAATGATAAACAATTCATAAAGCAACCACAATCAACAAAATATAACTCATTATTGAATGTTAATTCTTGTAAACTTTCGCAACCATAAAAGCAATATTTTCCAAGGCTAGTAACTAAAGAAGCATCAGATAATTTGATTGTAATTAATTTTTTGCAAAATGCAAAGCAATGGTTAGGAAACGTGGTTATTTTCTCATGTTTGAATTCAATGGATTTAATGCTAGTACAAAATGAAAACATTCCATCTGTTAATTTAACATCTTTATGAGCAATAATTTTTTCAAGTTTTTCAGTTCCTCTAAATGCATCACTTTCAATCTCGATTGCATGTTCTGGAATTGTGAATTCTGTTGCATCCAATCCACCAGGGTATCCAATGAGTCGTAATTTATCTTTTGAATAAATAACGTTATTATCAACATAATAATTGGGAGTGTCACTAAAATGCACTTCCTTTAAATAAGGATTATTAATTCGCTTGAAAGAAATTGCAACAAAATCACTAGGAATTGTTACTTTTTCGACATATTCTATAGAATCAATTCTTTTAAGGTATTCAATTGCTTCATCTCTTTCTACATTTTCCATTGAATAATCATCATTTTCTTGGACAGGTTCTACCAGAATATGATTGAAAACCAATTCTTTGATTTTAACACCATTGAAACAATTGAAATTAATTGTATTGACATTTTTCAAGTTAAGAATTGCAATATTTGTATTTATGAAAGCCTTTTCTTTGATTTCTTAAATTTCACTTGATAGTGTAACTTCAGACAAACTTGTACAGTTAGCAAATTGATATGAAGCAATATAAGTTAATCCAGAACCTTCTTCGATAACAACCTTTTTGAGATCTTTGCAACAATAAAACTTAGGATCATATGATTGAGAATTAAAGCCCTTAATTGTCATCTCTGTAATATAAGTATATGAAAGAACACCATTATTGTCATCATAACCATTAACTTGAGAAGATATATTGATTTGATTTGTCCATGTTTTGATATTAATTAATGGACATAATTCAAATAAACTAGATTCAACGGTCATAGAATGTTCTCCCCATCCAATTATTTCTTTGAGCTTTGGACAATTAAAGAAACTATTCCTCTTGATGTACGTGCAATATGTTAAATCAACTTTCTCAAGCTCTGGCATATTTGCAACAAAATTTACAGTTTCTAATCCAGGTGGAAATTCCTTAAGATTGTAGTTTGTAATATCAATACTATATCTGTAGTCAGGATCACTAGGGAATATTACTTCTTCGACATGTAAATTTCTCAAATTGATAATTTTGCAATCTTTGGTAAATTCGATAATTTTCAATGTGGGCAGGTCTGGAATTTTATAATTATCATTATTTATTCCAATAATTAGCTTTTTCAGAGGAACCAAATTTAAATCTGGAATTCGGTTGCCAAAATATAATTCTTCAACTTTTGTCATAGCCAATACATAGAAACCAAACCAGTATAAGTTTTTACTGTAAGTTATCTTTGATAATGAAGTACAATTATAAAATGCATAATCGCTAATATCCTGAGCATTTGATTCAACTGTTGTAAGATTTCTGCAATTGTAACATAAGCGAGCCGGAATTGAGGTCATTTCGTCGATGAATTTGAGTTCAGTTATTGGCGTATTTTCAAAAGCAGAAGATCCAAGTGTTCGTAATTGAGATAATTTAAGTGTTTGAATAAATTTGCAATTTTTGAATGCTTCTCTTGCAATTTCTACGACATTTTCAAGATTAATTTCTGAAATTGTTGAGTTTTCAAATGCATTATCCAAAATATATTGAACGTTTGCGGTTAAAATAACTTTTTGAATATTTCTATTATCTTTAAAAGTATTTGGTTCAATTGTGTCAATATTTTGGCTTTGAATTTCAACAATTTTAACAAAGGAAAGACCATCAAAGCTAGGAATTGTGTAATAATCACCACCTACAATTAGTTTTGTAATTTGTTTTGTTTTAATTTCTTCGGTAATTTTTTGCAAATCATCGTTTTGAGAATCAGTGAGTGAAATGTCTGATTCAGAATCTGTTTGAACCTTCCTGTTGAGAAGTGATTGAAAAACTATGCTCGAAAACAGCATCTAAATAAATTTTTAATATGATAAATTGAGTACATCTCAAATTTCTCTTTCAATGAGTTGCCTCAAAAATCAAAATCGTTAAACCAGATATTAGAATTAATCTATCCGAATAGATAATAATCAAATAATAATATTGAAAAATGAAAATTTTTTAAATGAAATATTAAACCAAATCCATGACATTTGTTCGTCAATCCAAATATAGAATTTTATGGTTTACGCCTGTGTAAAATATCATTCAAAAATTTTCTGAATTTTCAATATAATATTATTATAAATATATATGTAAGTGTTTTTCTGGATTTTTGTCCGTTCCATTCAAAATTTGTGTAAAAGATCATTTCTCCATTGGATATTAGTTAGTATTAAATTGCAATAATTAATATTTTATTTTTGACCATTGAAAAATCTTTAATTCAAAAGTAAAAAAATGATCTTTCAATTTCTTTGAATTTTTTCAGATTTCAGAAATAAGTTATTATCATTTCTGAAGGTACAGAGTTTGAATAAAAAATTACTATCGATATTTGCTTTCAATAAGCCTTTCTTTAACAATATTCAATTTTTTTCTCCATTTAATTCAATTTTTGCACATCATTTGCTTTACCTATTGTCATATAATTATATTATGACAAAATTATTTTCTATATTCAAAACATTAAATTTTTTGTAAACATTTCAAAAAATAAACCATAATGTTTTTAGAGCTAAGACTCAAATCCCTCATTTCAAAACAGATAATACTTAATTTCCAATACGAAATACAAGGTGACAATCTTATTGTCAATACGATTAACGATTTTGAAGACGCAGAGGCCGCAATAAAAACAATCAAAGAACGAAACATTAAAAGTTTGACTTATTCTGACGGATCCAACTATCCAATGTTTATTGGTGCTGGATTGGTAGAAAATATAATTGCAAATCAACCCGAAACTAACGATATTATGATTCCAAAATATTTATGCTATAAAAGTGTCCATATCAAAACGTTGACTGTTAATGCTGAAGTTTCAATAGGTCCATATGCTTTTGCATACTCTACAATTCAAACGATAAATAATATTCAAAATGTCAAAGCTATTTGTGAGAGCGCATTTGAAGGTTGTTCTAATTTAAATTTGGTTGGACTGATTAATCATTGTCAAAAGAATTGTCTACGATTTACAAAAATTGTAAATCTTGAAGTTAAAACAATTGACCCTTTTGGGCTTCAAGAAATGCATGAATTGGAAACTGTAACAATACAATCTGCTTTAATACCGGAGAAAGCCTTTTACAATTGTTTCAAATTGACAACTGTGACTATTAGCGTTCAAAATACTCAAATTCTAAAATCTGCGTTTGAAAATTGTGGTATTCAAGCATTTAATTTTGAACACATCTCAGAAATAGATTCATGGGCTTTCAGAAATACTAAACTTCAATCAATTGAATTGCCAAATTCCAACTTAAAATTGTATAATGGAGCATTTTGTCAATGTCCGTTTTTAACAACAGTGACCATTACAGATTCCGTCACAATTGCTGATTTTTCCGGTGAACAGTTTAAAGAATGTTATTCTTTAGAAACTGTCGATTATCGTAACACTAATAAAGTTCCAACAAGAATGTTCATGTTTTGTTACAAATTGGCAACTTTTAAATCAATTAATAACAATTTAGATATTGAAGAAGAAGCATTTTACTCATGTACTAGTTTGAGAAATATTGATTCAAACCAAGTTGGAAATATTTATGATAAGGCATTCATTTATTGCATCTCTTTACGAGAGTTTAATCCAACATATTCACGCATTGGTCATAAAGCTTTTTATGGTTGTCAAAACCTACAAATAACTAATATTCATAATTGTGGACGCTACTCATTTGCATATTGTTCTTCAATATCAACATGCACACTTAAAAATTCTTTAGATGATGGAACAATGATAAATTGCACTGGATTAACATCTGTTTCATTTGAAAATATTGTTAGAATTCCATTCAAATGTTTTCAAGGATGTACAAATTTGGAAACAATTTCTCTTTCAGCAAGTGTGAAAAATATTGATATAAATGCCTTTCTTGATACTAATCTTAACATGGAAGAATTGGACTTAAGCAATTGCCAAAAAATTGGAAGTTTTGCTTTTAAAAACACAAAAATTAAAAGCCTGATATTTTCAAATGTATATAATACTGATGAAGAAAATGGAATTCCATTTGATGGAGTAACAACAATTAAGAAAATAACATATAGATCATCCTACGCATTCAGGCCAAAAGACTTCAGAGATTCAACAAATATTGAAATCGTTTTTGAAGATAATAACTTCCAAATAAAGGATGATACTATTATAGATAGTTCTCAATTATATTATTATTATCCAAGTAGTCCAAGTAATGAATATACTGTCAATCCAGAAATTAGACAAATAATGTCTTATGCATTTGCAGGTGCCACAAATCTTAAAAGTATAACCATTAATCACTATATTGGATCGGACAGTAAATTCGCACTCGCAAATTGTAAGTCACTACAAACAATCAATATTGATTTTCAAAATTCCGAAGGTTATTCATTATCAATTCCGTGTGGTTTCTTTGCAAACTGCATTAATCTTATTACAGTTAATCTTGGCCAAAAAATATCTATGATAGAGAAAGGAGCTTTTGAAGGTTGTATATCTTTAACATCGATTGTTATTCCAAGTGATACAAAAGAGCTTTCAGATTATTGCTTCACAGGATGCACAAAACTAGAAAAAATTGAGTTTCTCGCCGATTCGGTTAAACTTAAAGGATACTGTTTTGCCAATTGTACATCATTGAATGAGATTAAGTTCAATGAAATCATCCAAATGTATGAATATTGCATATCAGGATGCAAATCGTTAACTAAATTAAATGTCGAAAATATTAAAAGTATTTCAGCCAATGCATTTTCCTTTTCTTATTTAGAGAATATCAAAGTTCCAGCTAATCTTTTACAATATGAAAATGCATTCAGATATTGCAATAATTTGAAAAAGGTTGAATTATTTGTACTACATCCAGAGTTTTATCATTATGTAAAAAGTGGTTGTTTTAATTCCTCTAGTTTAGAAGAAATTGTTCTTCCTGATTGTATTCAAAGCCTTGAAGAGTTTTCATTTGGTTTTACCAAATTGAAGAAATTATTTATTCCAAACAGCGTATATTCAATCAGTCCAAAAACATTTTATGGATCTGATGACATACAATTAGAAATGGATTGTTCTCATCCATTTTATACAGTTGGCGAATACGAACTTGTTGAAAAAGCAACAGGTAAGCTAGTTTTAACTTTTGGAAAACTTCCATCAGCATATATTGTTCCAGAAAATATCAAAATCATTGGACGTGATTCAATATTTTCTCCTCCAAAAATAAATGAGGAAACCAAAAAAGTTATTGATTTTGGACTTACAACATAAGTTATTAAAAATAATGTTGAAGTAGAAGAATTTTCAATAAGTGCTCCATACTTACACAATTTATGCTATGGAGGAATGACAAAACCAAAGTTCTTAAATAATGATTTTCAGAGAATATTTGTGACAGATCGATATGTAAGAAATTATTGGGGAAATGACAAATTTGCTATTAAAGGAAATTGCGACACATCCGTTCCTTTTAAGAATTATGCAAACAAGATTTATAAATATCCAGAAAATCCATCATATATTCCTTATCCAAAACCAAAAAGAGGATTTGTATGTGAAAAAGCAGACCCGATTGAAGAACCAGTGCTGAATGAATCAAATATTAGTCTTTATGAAGATATTGCTGATAATTCAACAACATCAACTCAATTATTGATATTTGAAACTCCAAATAGAAAAGTTTTGTCAAACTTAACGTTAGGTTTGATAATTGCTGCAATTGTTGAATTAATATTGTTATTAGTAATGATATCTTATATCATTATTAAATCAAATAGTTCAGAAGAAAGTTCTGATTCTGATGTTATTGAAATGAAAGAAGAAGAAATTCAACATATTTCAAATCAAATGACATTTGTTCATGAAAATGTATTGTTTAACATGAATACAACAATGAGTGATGATCCATTTGCTCAAGACTTTGAAGATGTTCAAGATGATAATTACGCATTTAACACTGATTTAATTGTAGATGATGAATAAACTTATTAGTATTATGTTTTATTATAAAATATTAAGTGCTTTTTAGAGGATAGTTTTGCACTTACTGTATAAATATTGATTGAATCATAAGCTATGAAATCATAAATTTAAATATTCAATAATTATTAATTAAATTCTTTTATGATGCAATATGATGTTTTGTGCATGCATTATTATTGCATATAAATTTTATTGGCTCTGCTTGCTATACTTCATTATCGGATTAGATAAGATAGTATAGTTTAAATTTGCTTGTGAGTTGTGGTACTCATATTGATATAGCCTATATAGCATGGATTCTTTAATGGATAAATCAAATTTCAAACGATAATTGTAAACTGATTCAGTTTACAAAAATTTCTCGGAATTTGTAAAAAAAAATAAATATGAGCGAAAATGATATGCGCTGGATTGATCACATCCTCACTTCTGATAACTATAAGTACTTTGTCAGAATTGATGATGAATTCGCTTTCAACTCTTTCAACCTTTTCGGAATAAGAAAATACGTTACTCATTTCCCTGAAGCATATGAATTAATTCGTTCATCAGTTAGATCATCACTCCAGAATGGAAAAATCCCAGAAGAAATTGAAAAGGATGCCATCATCGTTTATGGTCTTCTTCAAGCAAGATTTCTTTTAACAAAACCAGGTTGGGAACAAATGATGTCAAAATACAGAGAAAAAGAATTTCAGACATGCCCACGTGTTTACTGTAAAAACTGCGTTTGCTTGCCATACGGCGTATCTGAAGAATACGGAGTTGCAAAAATGAAAATGTTTTGCCCCAACTGCTGCGATATTTATAACGTAGAAGATCCAAATCTTAGTCAAATTGATGGAGCTTTCTTTGGTCCAAATTGGGTTCACATGTTCATGCAAAAATATCCAGAAATAGTTCCTAGAGAGTCACAGCGTGTTTATGTACCACGTGTTTTTGGATTTAGAATATACCATGAATCAGATGCTGAAGATGATAGCTATGCTGATGGTAGCGATTATACAGATTAATCTCAAATAGGACACCAATATTTTAATATGTTTTTCTCTAGATAAATTCTGCATTTGTATGAATTTAATTTAAATTTCATGTTTTTTTTTATTTGCTCTTTTTTCCTAAATAAGATCGGGCTCAATTATTTTGAATATATGTGAACAGAAAACTTTATCTATGAATATTGGTTTATGGTTAATATTCTCAGATTTCATGAATTGTTATGGGAAAATAAGAGAGCTAGGAGGGAAAAACATCCTGATTTATAATGTTAGGCTATATATCTCTGATTTTTATAATCTCGTGTATTCTGCTCCAAAGGGATTAGTTAGCATTCTAATGAAACAGATGAATAATCGCATAAGTATTGTAATCTATTATATCATGACATAGTGTAAAGATATTTGGTGTTATAACACGTTATTCCAATTACTTATAGCTAAATATGAGAAATCATGCTAATATTTTTCGAAAAACCGATCAATGGTCAGGGAGCACATTATTGAAAGGCATTTGTAACACAAGAATCCAGTATTGTTCTCATTTCGACTATCTATTTTAAAAATAATTTTATTCATAAGGCTTTCGTCAGCCTTCTTCATATAGGTCAGGTAGGTGGGGCTTCCAGGCGCGTTGCGCCCTCTAGCCCATAAGAAATTTTGCCCAAGACCCAAGAGGAGGACCGAACCCCAGCCGACCAGCCGGTGACAAAACCAAAACCGTTGTTATTTACATCATATTAATGATGTCACTTTTTTAAATGTCACTTTTTATGTCGCTTTTCACAAATTATATATGTTTTCATGTTTTGTCACTTTTCTGTCACTTTTCGGGTAAAAACATTTTTATTATTATATATAAATGAATTTTACAAAACCACCGTTACCGTTCTTTGGAAATATGAGTAGATGTAAAGATATTATATTGAGAGAACTTAAGAAACTACCGAATGGTCTAACATTTGTAGATTTGTTCGGTGGAAGTTTCTATATATCCCATTTATGTCATACAATATTCCCAGACTCAAAGATTATATGCAATGACTTCGACAACTATATGAACCGTCTCAAACATATTCCAGACACAAACAATATATTGAAAGAGTTAAAAGAAAAGATACCTATAGGTAAGATGGAACGTATACCATTAGATAAGAAAAATATTGTGAGAGAGGTTTTGAAAAAAGCAGAATATATAGACTGGGATAGTATATCTGCTAGATTATTATATAGTGGTGCTATAAGAGTTCATGACATTGAAACACTTATGTCAAAAGTTTTATATCTTAACTATACAAATGTTTTCAAAGAGGACATAGAAAAATATATTGAGGGTATAGAGTTTGTGAGATGTCATTGGACAGAGTTGTATGAAAAATATAAAGACAAGGAAAATGTTTTCTTTATAGTGGACCCGCCGTTCTATAACACATGGGATTTTCAATACCAAGTAGACTGGACTTTGAGAGACTCTTTAGAAACTTTAGACGTTATACATAACCATCCATGCTTTTACTTTACATCCGATAAAAGTGGTTTGGAAACCGTTATGAGATGGTTAGAGGACATACATGACTATGAGTTTATATATGACAAGATAGAATATGAGAGAGGTCCTATAAACTGGAGAAAGTGTCACAATAAAGAAATTTTATTAGTAAGTAAATGTGGTTTGAAATAGGACTGTTGCATGCTAAGATCAGTCATAATGTAAACCTCTCAATTTTATTGTTGTGGGAAGTATCTCAATTCCTTCAAAAAAATTGAAAAACTATTTAATTTTAAAAATATAATACTTTTAATTAGTTAATTAATTGGAGATATTTTTTAAAAATCACTTTTGATAATACTTTTGAGAACTTTAATTAAAAAAATATATTCAAAAATATCCAGGATATCAAGAGGGAATTGTTCCTTATGAGGTATATAGTTATGATGTATACCTCATAAGGAACAATTCCCTCCTTAAAATGAGAAAACTTGTTCGAAATCGTTTATCATTTCGAACAAGTTTTCTCGTTTTTAATAGGAAACTAAAGGCTATGAGGCACTGATTATATATTAGTGCCTCATAGCCTTTAGTTCCTAATAGATAGCTGGGGAACTTTCTCCAAATGATAAGTTATTCAGAGAAAGTTTCCCAGCTATCAAGAGGGAATTGTTCCTTATGAGGTATATAGTTATAATGTATACCTCATAAGGAACAATTCCCTCATTAAAATCGTAGACATTTTTATACTTATTAATCAACCATTCAAAATCATATTCCTCTGAAAAGTTATTTTATTAAAAATTTAGAATTTTAATAAATATAGAGTTTGAATTTCATACAATACCTATATATTTTCAATAATGGAATTTGAAAACCATTCTCAAAAGTTCTCAGAAAACCTTTTTTTCATTAATTTTAAGAAATCTGAGTATTAAATTAAGTGATAAATTCGTTTGACACTACTTTAATTTTTAAATTCAAAAAATTATATGTGCTTCTTAAAATGACTCAAAAAAATTTTATTATAAAATAATATATAATATTAAAAATCCCACAACATTTTTTACTTTACATAATCGTACTTCCTCGACGATTAATTTCCACTCAATTTCTATCATTGACCGAACTTAGCATGCAACAGGACTACTTGTTTTAGGCTTTTTCCATTGTGTCATTTATTTATTTGACGTGGCAGAAAAGTACAGAGAATATGAAGATGAACCAATGCCTGCAAATGTTCAGCATATGTACTCGTAAGAGATATTTTTATCTAATATTAAATGGACGCACAGAACTTAGCGAATGCACAGCAACCTGGACAACCAAACCCAGAGAATATTCCAAATGAAGTTAGAATACAAACTGCAATGGCAAACTATGGTCAAGTGCCAACAGATGTACAAATGCAAACTGCCATGTCAAATGACGCTGCGTTAGGTTTGCCACCATGGTATGCAAATATGAGATGGAAAGAGTTTTATACAAACCCTGAAGTGGGATATAAACAACTTTATGCAGATGACGCGAACACAGGAGTTGACCCAGAATATGTTTTCTACCAGAGGAGAAACAGAATGTATGAGCTCCAGTTAAAGAATGCTATGGAACTCAACAGGAAACGTAAGAGACTAGGCGGACATTAGATTTTTACATATAGTAAAATGGGTTTCTTCAGTAAGATAGGAAACTTCTTTCGAAATGTTGGAAGAGGTATATGGAATGGAATAAAATCTGTCGGAAGAGGAGTATGGAACGGTGTCAAAAATATTGGTAAAAGAGTAGGTCAGTTTGTTGGTATTATACCTAAAGACCCTGAACCAGAAGAACAAGCTCCTGTAATACAACAGCCTGAACCTGCACCACAGTCTAGTTGGCAACCAAATCCAACACCTCAACCGTATTAAAAAATTATATTTTTATCGTTCGATAGTAGTTGTATATGAAACTAAGTTCTAAGTAAAACGCATGGTATAATGGAATTATTCTTTTTCTTCCATCTGTAGTAAACCATACTTGAAAGTCTGAAATACTTCCACTCGGCGGTTCATATAACTTTGTAGGTTTTTCGTAAAAGTCATTCATCAGACATAAGAAAGAGTTTTGCGCACCAGAAAATGAAGCATGAACAATAATAGCAGCTGGGTCGAAAACATTTTCATATGTTCCATTAGGGTTTTCGACTTCATAAAAGTCTGGGTGTACTGGATATGCTGCAGGCTGATTTAACATCCTCATAAATCTATACCATGCCAAGTTGTTATATTTTGTAGAAATATAAACGTTTTCTCCAAGGTCTTCTATTTTATTGATTTTAGCAGTTGCATTTTTCCTGTCATAAATAATATCGAGATGGTATTCTCCTTCGTCAATGTTAAACTGGTTTGCATATTCAATATAGATATCGTTTATTTTTTCTTGAAAAGCTTGAAGAGTTGTTTCTAAGTTTATAAGCAAATTAACTTGTAAAAGTTTTCCTTGTTCAAATTTCTCATACATACGTTTTTCTTTGTTATAGTATCGAACTTCAAAACCGACCGTAAATGGGAAACCATGTATGGCTTCTGAAATGAACTTCATTCTACGAAAGCCAATAGCTTTTGTGACGGATGGGTCTCTTAACCATCTTAATGGGTAGTCAAAACGATAGCCTTCATGCTTTACGGTATCTGTCTCAAACTTTTGACCGACATTAGTAAAAAGTTCATCTAATGGTTTAGTTGTAGCAACTCTAGAATTTTCTTTTTCTATTGGAAGCATATTTTATCTATAATAAAAATGTCAAATGAAACAGCGTCTATGAGAGAAATACAACACAACCGACAACTCATTATGCAAGCTCTAAATAAGAACACAACAAACTTTTCAAACTATTCTAAGATATCTGAGTCATTGAAAGGGGGTGACTTAAAACTGACAATAAACCCAATGACAGATGAGTTTCTGTTTCAAGACAATAAGAACCATACTGTCTGTATAAATCCAACAAAAGGAACTTTAAACGAGAAACCTATAAATGAACTTCTTTTGAAAGCAGATGTTGACAACAAAGCTGACAAAGAATATGTAGACGATGCAATAGCAAAAGAAGAAGAAAGAGCTAACAATGCTTATGCAACAAAAGAACATACTCATCCTGAACTAGCAGACAAAACATATGTTGACAATAAAATGTCAAGTGAAGTGACAAGAGCTGAAAACGAATATTCTAAAAAGACTCATATACATTATATTAACCAAATACCAAGTCTTAAGGAAACATTAGAGACAAAAGCAGATAAGACTCATACACATACCATTGCAAATATTACAAACTTACAAGAAACCTTAAACAGGAAAAGTAACGTTGGACATACACATACATCTTCTGAAATAACAGACTTAAACGTTAGCCTTGAAAATAAAGCAGATAAAACATATGTCAATGAAATATACCAAAGTTTGATAGGAACAAAAAATATTGAAACTATTGTTGGTGACTTTTCTGTCAATGAAGAAAATAAATATTTTAGATGGCAGTTGGTACAGTCCTTAAAAATGGTACACGGCATAAACTCATTCCGAAAAATAACAATGAAATGTATGTAAGCTATAAAAAGAATGATGGTACACAAGTTAAAGTTCCATTAGACAACAACTGTTACTTAAACTTATATGAAGACGAACAAAAGAAATATTTAAGAGTTTATAAAATGGCAGATATGACATTGCCTGACCCAGCTCCGGCACCACATTATTATGACTATGGAGATGACGACAGAACACCACATGTAGATGAACAAAAGCTAACATTATATTTAGATTATTATAGATATAAAAGATATAATGCAATAGAAAAAACGAGAATAGTATATTATTATACAGATGACAGAAATAAATATTATAGTCAAGATTTTACCTACCCTGAAAACATAAGATTATATTATAAAAAATATTCTGACACAAACCAGAAGAAACCTGAAATAGTTGCACTATATTTTAAGTTCAAAAGAGACAATCCTATAATATCTCATATGTTTGATTTAATGAACCCAGTAGGTTCTATTTATACATCTATGGATGCAAGAGGTCCTCAAGTAATGTTTGGTGTTGGTGCATGGGAACAAATAGTCGACAGGTTTTTGTATTGTGCAAACTCTTCAAAGGAAACAGGTGGAAGTAAAACGATTTCAGGTGAAAATTTACCTGCACACAGTCATTACATAGATTTAAGTACATCTCAAGCAGGTTGGCATAAGCATAGATATTGGGATTGGTCAGGAATGACAAAAGGTAAAGGATATGATGTTAAAGACGACGTTAAGTTTGCTATAAATTGTTACTGGGATGACACGCAGGGAGAAGGAAACCATACACATTTCGTTTCAGGATATACGCAAACAACGGGACAAAGTAAAGAATACATGCCACTTACATGACAGTTTACGCATGGTATAGAATTGCTTAGTCGTCATTTTCAACTTCTTTAGCATATTCGTCAGGAGTTGTCTTATATTTGTTAGGAACTGTCTTTGAAAGTATACCACCTTGAACTTTGACAAGTTTGAAACGAGGTCTGACAATAGTAGTTTTATCTTCTGCTTGCAGTGTGTACATTTTGCCATGTTTGCCTAAAACTTCATAATATTCTCTTGTATACTTTCTTCTATTTTTACGAACACGAATGTGAGTACCTGTCGAGTTCCCATTGTTGTCATAGTCAATAGTATTTTCATATGGGTCGCGTTTAGGTATTTCTATTTTACTTTGTCACCTTTCTGAAGTTTGAAGCCCGGCATTCTTTCTTGTTTGTCTCTTTTGACTAAATTATTAAATATATAGTCTTTCTCTAAGTCAGGGTTGTTTTTCATTTCTTCGGGGGAGTGGTTTCCCAAACCTTTTTGTTTACGGTTATTGTAAATATTTAAAACTTGTCTCATCTTTGCCTGGGAGAAGTGTCTATATTTGTCGTCATATGACATTTCATTTGCTTCACCACCTTGTGGTTGGTTTAAGTCTCTTAACATTTTTATACAACCGTCAATGACACCAAGAGCATAATGGTTTTGGTCGACAATGAAATATTGGTTTACATTTTTTGAACGCAGATAGTTTTTTACATCATCTGATTTGAAAGAACTTTCACAGTCAGATGTCAGTTTTGTTGGATGGTATTTGTCAACGAATATTGTCAAAGCTGCTAAGATATCTAAAATAGCTTTGGACTGTAATGGTATGGCTTCACAGTATCTTGTGTTTTGACCAACAAATATTAACCAGTATGGTGGTCCATCTTCTCTATACCTCGGAACGTTTTCCAAGATATCCATAAACCAAGCATTTGGTGTTGAACTAAAGATTTTTATCATGAGTGCTTTCTTTGTCGCTTTAGAAACATAGGGGTCCTTGTTCGGATTCGTCATTTTTTACCCTATAAGAAATGGGTTTATTTGGCGCATTAGCAGGAGTCGCATCTAGATTTTTACCCGCAGTGGGAACAATAGCCAGAGGTGCATTTGGAATTGGAAGGAAGATTTTGAGTACATTAGGTATACTGAAAGAGAAAGCACAACCTATTATACAAACTGTACAGAAAGGTTGGGATGTAGCACGAGATGCAACAAATCTTATTCCAAATCCTGAAACAAGAGGAAAAGTTCAAGGATGGATGGACAATGTAGGAAGACAAGCAGGAAACTATTATAACAAAGCAAATGACTACTATAACCAATCAGGACACTATATGGACCAAGGTGAAAGATTCTTTAACAGAGGATATAACCATGCACAACAGTGGGTAAACAATAACCAACCGCAACCACCTCAAACGTGGGGAATGTAAAGTTTTTTATTGAGATGAAATGAACAATGCAGCATTGAGACAAATGAGTTCAAGATGGATTTGTCGGCTTCCAGCATTTAAACCGATACCATATAGTCAGGCTCAGCATGTGAAACTGAATGATATTATTAAAGGAACCATCCCACCTCCACAACAACAACCAGTTGAAAACAAACCAAACTAAAATTTTTTACTGAGATGAAATGACCGAAGAAGTTGAAACGGTAGATTTGACACCACAAACAAAAAGTTCAGAACCATTGTCAAAACCTGTCAAAGAACTTACAGATGAAGAGAAAAATTCAATAATAGAAAGTGCCAGGTCTGGAAATACAAACCCTAACTATAAAGTCACTTTTCATAGAAATGGAACGGCTAGTATCTCAAAAAAGAAACAGACTCTCACAAATAAAATATTGAAGTCTGAAGGAGCTTTCGAGACAACAGATGGAAAAGTTTACTTCACTGACCAACAGTTCATTATAGAACATCTCATTGACTTAGAGTCGAAATATTCTAAACTTTACAAAAACACAAAAAGTTGAAAGGAAAACAAAAACAAATGGCATATGATATTTATGAAGATGTTGACGACACAACTGTTCCTGCAAGTGAAGTAAAGTCAGAGGAACCGAAAAGTGACGAAAAACCGATAGAAGAAGAAAAACCAAAAACTGAAGATAAACCAAAACCAAAGTTTAGTTTCCAAACTAAACCAAGTCAACCTTCATTAGCTGGTATGGGTTGGCGTCAAAGACTTATGGCAGCAGGCGGTTATGTAAAGTAAAGAAAATTTTTTTTATTTTTATAAAAATGCCCCCATATAGAATGGATAGAAAGTCTGCTAGAATAAAGGCAGAGTTACAAAGATATGGTTGGAGAGTTTCGAAGAATTTTAAATATAGGAAGGGAAGACCCATAAAAGTCTATGACAAATTGTCTGGTCTTCGCTACGAAATGGATTTGGAAACAGCACGTGCCAATTATCCAAACAGACTAGAGAGGTTAGAAGAAGAACGTCTTATGGACATGCCTTTCGATGTTAGTGAACCTCAAGTTGAAGGACACGACGGCTTTGCCAGATTCTACTGGAAACATGACGAACAATTGCATCCTTTGAGAAGGAAAAAAGGAAAAGGTGAAGACGCACATGCTCCCATGGAAAGAACAAGATATGCATATGAAAAGTATCGTGAAGTTAGAAGTCAAATTACATCTGGTCGAACCTTTACAGTAAACTTGGACGAAGGAAAGAACAAAGAAGGCTTCATGGGAGTACTTGCTGCAATTCAAGACGGAAATAAGAAAGGACACAATCTCAGATTGACCATAACAGATTTGGATGGTCACATTTACTATGCACATGGCAATGAACAAACAGCCGCAAAACTTCTTGACGCTTTCAAGACTACTATCATAAGACGAAATGGTGGAAGTGAACTCAAAATAAGAGTAATTAGGTTATTTTGCCGACCAAATATATTTACAAGGCAAAATATCATATTACATGTCAACCTATTATCAGTATGTTTTGATAAAAAAATTTTATCAAATATCATATTAAAATTAACATCTATATCTATATCAATATCTACACTATAAATTTTTTTATTCAATATCATAGATTTCAAAAATTTATTTCAATTTTAAATTAATTTATGGTTTTCATCAAAATTGTTTTTTATTAAAAAGCATGTTTCACAATTTTTACGGTTTCTTTCAAAAGTTATAAAAAGAGAGTCAATAAGAAATTTCAACGCTTCAAGAAGGAATCAAAGAAATTGACGAAGTTCCAGAATTTTATTCAACAATTCTTAATCAATTAACAAAAACTATACCGAAACTTATCTTACCATCCAAATCAAATCACATTACATACGGAATAAACATTTAATCTTTTACCATTAAAATTATATTTATACGTTATTTAATTTTTTACGTCTAAGTTGAATAGGATAATAGCCGAAGATATAAAGTAACTATAGTTTACAAGCTAAGGAACAAATCAGCATTGAAACTAAAAAATAACGTATTTGAATAATTTCGTAAAAAATTAGAATTACTCGATATTAAGCATATTGCTTTTCTATCATATATGCTTATATTCTACAATAGTGTTACCAAACATCGGGCAACATCATACGTATAATACAACTTTTTCGTACTTCTTTATCGAATTTAAATAGAACTAAGTTTTTATTTTAAATAAAAGAGAAATAATTCTAATTTATAATCTCATTATTAATTTATTCTCATTTTAATATTTCATCGATTTTTTATTATCGATATTCAATACAAATGAATTCATATTATAATAGTATCTAGTATAACTAGGTATTCTATCACAGTATTTCTTCAATTTATTATAATATTTCAGCATTTTTTAGTTTCAATGCTGATTTGTTCCTTAGCTTGTAAACTATAGTTACTTTATATCTTCGGCTATTATCCTATTCAACTTAGACGTAAAAAATTAAATAACGTATAAATATAATTTTAATGGTAAAAGATTAAATGTTTATTCCGTATGTAATGTGATTTGATTTGGATGGTAAGATAAGTTTCGGTATAGTTTTTGTTAATTGATTAAGAATTGTTGAATAAAATTCTGGAACTTCGTCAATTTCTTTGATTCCATCTTCCTCGCAATACAACTCCATATCATTAACTTGTATTTAAAGGCTTCCATATACAAAACTTTATATGTTTGAAAGTTAAATCCAATCTTTTTCTATTTCTAAAAAAAATTGAGACCTAAACACGAGATAGCTTTCAGAAAATTTTCAGGGACATTTTTAATCATTTTTTTATTTATTGTAATATCTTTGTTATTAAATTTGAATTGTTTAATATTTGAATGTAAAGAATTGAATAGTAATAATTTTAGTTTTAATACATAGCTAATTGCTAAGCAAAATAATTAATTTATTGTAATTTTGACATGTAAACTAAAGGGGAATTTAGCCGGCCAAATATATGTCATTTTTTGACTTCACCTCACTTCCACCATTTCATCTTATGACACTACAAAGAGAGAACAAATGGTTGACTCCGACTCAGACATTTTGAATGCAATTGAAGGAATTGCAAGTGTCAAGTTCGAATGGTACCAACCTAACCCTCAAGCAGTCAGACAACATGCTGGATACTTCCCGTTCATAAATAAGTCTGACATTGACTTGACAAGGTATGGAATTTACAATTCAATTGAAACAATTGTCAATGAACCTTGTATTCTTACATGTCTCAGGAACTCTGGTCTTGTTACAGATGAGAAGATGAAGTATCTTGAGTCATGTGTGAAGACAAGGTACATTCTCAGAGGTCAATTGGCAAAAATTGCACGCGTTGGCAAATGTCAATATCCGAGTCAACATACCTACAGCTAAAGGTTCTTCACATGACGACTATTGTTGTTGACAAAGACTTACATGGTTGAAGATTGTAATTGTCCACAACCACTTCATGTTGAACGAAAGTCTTACAAACCATTTTTTGGTAAAAGTAAGTGCAACATTGTCAGAGCTGTAAACATTCTTTTCGAGAAAGGTTTGTTGGAACCAATTCCAGATGACAAGCTTACAGAAAGTTTTGTACCAAAAGACGAAACAAACTTTTCATTGTTAGCAAGACCAAAAGTTGTTTCCAGACAAAGTTCTAGTACAAAAGAAGTAACAGTTCCACAAGGGGTTGGTATGTTCGGATACCAACCTGAACCAGAAGAACTTCCAATGAGGTTGCAAGAACTTCAAGATGCTATAAACAAACTTCCATTGAGACATCCAATTGACGTCAAATTGTATTGGAGAGCATCTGAGTTAGGTCAGAAGGTTTTATATGAAACAGGTTGCTTCGACGATGTTTATGAGATAGCAGGAGAAGTTTCTCAGAAGATAGAGACTCACTTGAATTTCCACAAACTGGACCAATTGGTTGCGACAAGTTCGACTCAGATGAAAAGATATACTATGTCGACCTTAACGCTGCATACATGAGGTTTGTCAATATATTCCGACTGGAATTCCAAACGAAGATGGTGAGTTCCCGGGAAGGAACTATACAGTTGGAAAAGTCATACAACAACTGTATGATATTAGGAAAGCTTCAAACCCCAAACTTGCAATGACACTCAAATTGCTTATGAATTCAACATGGGGATATTCCATTAAGAAACCTCAAAAGATGAAGAGTAAACATTATGAGAAGGTCGACAACTTTGTTGAAAGGTTTTCTCCTTTTGTTTTGAAGTACGAATTCACTCAAGGTCAAAGTGGCTTAGTAACCACATTAAAACCTATTGTCGAACATTGGTCTTACCCTCAGTTCGCAAAAGCAGTCCTTGACGAGTACAACAAATTCTTCTCCGAAGTCAAATCGAAAGTCAAGGTTTACTATGAGAACATTGACGCACTCATGACGAACGAAGAAGGATACAACAAACTCATTGAAATGGGAATGGTCGGTGAAAAGATGGGCTGTTTTAAGCTAGATAAGGTATTTTCCGAAGTTCATATAATATCGAAAAGGAAATATTGGGGCATACTGAAGACGGCACAGAAATAAAACATTGCATGAAATAAAAAATTTATTTTTTAAAAAAGTGACATTTTTTTATTTTATTTGAAATGTACGCTGAGTTTGTTGGAGAAGACCGTTGGGAAACTTGTTTGTTAGATGAGAAATATGAAATTCACTGTTGTGAGTCATTTGAAGTCAGAAACAAAAAGACAAAAAAGAGTTTAAGCGAATGGGAGCGAAATGACGGATATGCTATTATGAAGATGGGTGGAAAACACTATCTTAAACATGTTGTCATTGCAACTCATTTTATACTGAATCCTAACAATTTACCTTTTGTAGACCATATAAACCATATAAGAAACGACAATAGACTTGAAAACTTACGTTGGGTCACTCGTTCTGAAAACAATAAGAACAAAGGCAAATTTGGAGATATTGTATTCAAATTTGTCGACGAACTAGAAGATGAAACAATTGAAAATTACAGACTATGGCAAGCATACGTTTGAGTTTTACTACTATAGCGAAGAACAAGACTCTCTTTCTACTTTTATACCGGCGTAAACTATAGGAAATTACAAGTATATTTACTAAGGCGGGCTATGCTTATGTAAACACTAGAGATACAGATGGAAAATACGTTCAAATACTTCTTAACAAATTCAAGAAGCTATATGGCATATACCATTTTAAAACAATATATTTTTTACATATATTAAATGCTTCAGGTTGAAACAAAGAACAAAAGTAGCGATACAAAACCGTTAGACTATATCTTTACAAATGCTGGTAGGACTATTTCAGATGAAGAAATTTCATCCGAGCATACAGGTTTGACTATCCAATTGTTGGCTTCAAAGTCCTTCAGATGCAAAGGCAATAGGATTTAGAAGAGTTTTGTTTTCAAATAGAACTAACGCATTTATGTTCGCAGTAATCTTTTCATGGGCAGTATGAAGGTCCTGATGGTCTAATAGACAAATTTGACGAAATGAGAATCTTTACAGTTCGTTCAGACGAAAGTCTTGAGAAAAACTCTAGATGACTTTTCAAAACTCAAATGAACAAATATTATTGGGAATTTCAAGAAAATACGACTCTTTACTAAATGGAACATACTATCTGAAACTAGAATATGACAAGATGAACTCCACCGTTTCATTTCAAAAGATTGAAATTAACCCTCCAAGAGATACAGAGTTTTTATTTTGGGAAGTAGACAAAACGTTCTTGGGCAACAATTTCTTCGGTTACTAAACCAGAACGAACCATTACCACCAGATGGTCCATTTAAATTTATACTTCCCCAGCAATTTGATGGTTTATAGAAACGTGTTTGACCCTCAAAATGTTATGTGTCATGCAAGTTTCAGTTCAGCAACAATAGTTTTCTATGTATTGGTAAAGGACCTTTATGACTTTGCCTTCTAAATCTTACGAACCACCTAGTAACAGTTTCTCTGACTTTCAAGTTTGGTTCTAACACAATGGTGTGCAACATATTATTACCATTGTACTATGACTTTTATCTCGAATTGTCTTTCATATATAACTACGGAAAAGTGCTGAAAAAGTATTGAATGTGAAGATATTAGAAAATAACATTTTTTCTAACATCGTAGAAAACTCATGAAAACAATTTATTTTGCACTTTCACAAAAAACATAAAAAGTGAAGTTAAACGTTTAAGGTTTTACTGAATTGGTTGGATGTCGCCTTCTGAGGTTATGAAGAACGGCTGTCCTGAGAAGTGGAATAGTGCTCTGAGAATTTTGTATAATTCGTGGAATTGGACTCTCTCTGTTTGGAAGTGTTTATCCATGGGCGCTTTGCAAAGAACTTGAGAAGAGCTTCTTTCTTCATCTCCTTTATGTCGTCTACAGGAGTGTTTTCTGGTATTTGTAGGACAATTCTCGGTTTCAATTTCGATTTTCAGCGCACCTCTTCCAGACAACCAGAAGCCGAGGACTTGTTGGCTTTGTCCTTGCCCAAGTACTGCTTAACAACATTCATTTATCTCTATTAAGGTAAATTGCCTCATCTAATGGCTCGATGTTGTCCATTGTTCTGTTTTCAGAACT